GGCCTTTATTTGGTGAGGTTGCAGGGGAGCTACCTAGAGCAAATAGGAAGAGCCACCTGCTATGAATTAAGGAGGTGATGTACTAATTGGTAATATGTTTCACTGGACAAGACCAGGAAACCAAGAAAGCAGGGTATTTATAGGATTGTCCAAGCGGATATTACAATCATCAAGAGTTAAGAAAGGGGTGTTGGAGCCAGTGACAGTGAGCCAAAACTGAAAATACTTAAGCACTTCGAGGGAGGCCTGGAAGGTAGATAGGGACTTTGTAGGTTGATGGCAAGAGCTTCAAAGCATTGGGTGTTTAGGAGGGACGGATAATAGTCTGGAAGTGGCAATGAGGAACAAGCAGGCATCCTACTACTATTAATGCTTTATTACTCACACTTTGACAGAGATAACATAATATATTCCAAGGCGTGGCAGTGACTCTACGGGAACACATTGGCTTAGAACCCACCAAATCGTTTCTGGCTACTGCTCAGAACAACTATGCACAACAACTGAAGGCTTTTTGTATGCAGGGAAAGAATACTGGAAAGTACCGAAAAGGTTCAGCCTAGAAAATATGCCAAGAATATTTTCTTTTATACTAACACAGGTGAGACTTACCCAGTTTCAGCATATTTTTGACATTGTGAAACACTTTAGAAAACAGGAGATTTCAACAATGTAGACACTTGTAGGCATAGCAGAATGATAATCTCCCTTCCCAATCTTGTAAATTTGGCATCTACAGTTATGCTGACATTGTAAATAAGACAGCTAAAATGCACATAGTTTCACAACATCCAATTTTAAAGTTCATCCAAGCTGTCATTTTTTTTTTTTCCCTGCTGTGATTTCTTGCTGTCACCTAACATTTGAAATTCTGATTCAGGGTAATAACTGAGGTTTTTAAACAAAGCATAATACAGTATTACTATTCCTTCACACTAAACGGCAGGGGAAGAGATTAAGAGGAAGGGGCAACTGGGGCATGGATATTTGCTATGTACACATAATGACCCATTGCTGGAAATGAAAACTCACCTCTCCACCAGCCTTTGCTCAGGCTCAGCAGTGCAATGTCATGCACCGAGGATAAAAACAAACCATCAAAACCAAACTATCATGTAAGGAGTTGAGTTAGTTGGAAGATATCTACACAAAGCAAAAAATCTGTAATCTTTTAGAACATTTCTATTTCTAACTGTGTTTTTAGTCTTCAACCAAATGTTTGGCCTCATGGACATAGAGTCCAGGATTTTGATCTGGATTTCAAATATCTCAAAAACGTATCCAGGGACTTCTTCTGTTTAAGAACACAGTTTTATGGGGAGTTTAGTTTTGGTGCATTCTGGCACTTCCTGGAATGGCAGGCTTAGAAGAATAAAGTTCACAGCAGAGAGTTAGGGTCCCCTACTGCTTAACACTATGCAATGTTTTGAATATTCTAGTTGCCTGTGGAAAAATTTCCAGAACAATGATACAGTATGGAACTCAAACAACCCTAGAAAATGCTTGGTAGAAATGTACAAATGGTTAATTTTGAACCTGAAAGTTCTCAAGGGATTTTCTTCTTTGCTGGGGCTTCTGAAAAGAGTTCAGTTTATACCATTTTGAGACCCATGAAAGGACAGTACAACTTAGGGTTCCAGATACCGCTATACTCAGCAAAGCCAAAATGTAGTGGCATTTGAGAAATATTGGCAGGTAAACAAAATCACATTTGGACTTTTGGATTTTATATTATAACTATGTCGTCTCAAGGGAGGCCAGTTATAGATTTGTTTGTTATGCTTCATTTGATTTGGTCAGATTCAAATTTTTGAGGAATGAACTAAAAGGTAACTGATAATTCACAGAAACTGTTCAGATGATCAGAACATAGTATCAGAAAGGATTTTGGAACATCAGGGGCTTGGGAGGATGATTCAGAATTGTTATCAGTGTGTTGTGGATATTTCTCCTGTTTTCCTCCAGTGGGTTAAAACAAATTTTATTTTCTTTCTTAAAAATAAGGTAGCACATTTTATATCTTAAAGCAATCAGCACAAATGCAGGGATGCCTGTTCAAGCAGACTTCCAAAGACAGCACACACATTTGACACAAAGAGCTCTTCCACATTTCCAGAATACAGTGATGGGAACTGGTACACATAATAGGAAAGAAAAGAAAAAAATTTTTTTTTTAACTTCATGGAATGGGAGGTCAGACTTCAGGCACTTCTTTGTCTGGCAGCGGACAAAACCAAAAGGGCTCTGACCTGAATTTCACATATCTTTTTCATCTACCACACAAGAGGAACCAGAGACACCAATGACCAATGAGTCACAAGAACAGACAGAAAACTGTTAGTAGGTCTTGACAACCAGGGAAGATGCTTTTTAAAAATGTGTACTTGATGCCAAGTATGTGAGACATGTATCTTAGAAAGCAATGCCATTGTGTTAGATAAATGGAGTCCCTGTCCAGGTGGCCTTGTGGGATTTCCTCAGGACCTTGATCTATACTGTTGAAATATCTCTAGGTCTTCTTGAAGCACCGTTTAAAAGTCAAGAAAAATAATGACATTTATGTAAACAGAGCCATTAATTCTGTGTGGAACTTAGTGCAAGCTGTCTTCATTCATATTGTGTGCACTGGCAATGGTCAGGATGTAACTGGCATGGGGAGGGCTCTCACCATTCAAATGGAGATCCTAAAGGTCATCTGTTTCTACCACCCACCGGACGCAGGAATCCATACTGCAGTTCCCCTGACCGGCACCCTAGAATGATGGTCACCTGTCAGAACCTGGGCCAAGATTATGGTTTGGGCAGGCTCCGTGGATTTTATGGTATGATTATCAAATTTAGAGCAATAAGGACTGAAAAGATCTAGCAAAACTTACTTTGGGGGGAGGGCTCAGTTTCTCTTTGTAGAACAACAAAAATAAACTGAGCCAATTCCAGAAACAAAATCCCCTCTGGGAAGAACTAAAACTAAACACTGAAACTAACTAGTTTCAAAATTAAAGAAATTTTTATTAAGGTGCTATTAAGATGAAAGCACGACCCTCCCCCCACCATAAAAAAAGAAAGAAAGAAAGAAAGCAAACAAACCAGAAAGTTGGGAATTGTTATGAACCATAAGAACAATAGTCTGAAATACTCTGCATGATCAGGGTCTCAGTGTATTAGGGCTGGGGATTGTCCTGATGGAAGAAAATGTATTTTTGAAGATAAAAGCTTAAAGGAATTCTTTAGATATCTGTTAAGGAACACAGCTTTGATAGGGGCCTTTTTAAATTTAGTTTTGCCTTGTACTCCATGTAAAATATTTGTACAAAAATATAAAAGGCATGGCTTGATGTTTAACGTCTGTGTTTTATTGTTGTTGGCACCAGAAAAAGCTCATGTTCTATGTTATGTCACTGTACATACTGTAAACAAGACTGCATTAATATTGTTTTTATGAGTTTTTGTTTCAATGACTCTAGATTTTAAAAAATACATTCACAAACTACCTTATGTTTAAACACAATGATTCCCTTTTATTTCTTAACTGTACCCAAAATCCCACAATAAAAAAATCATTTAAAGCTGTGTGTTTCGAACTCATCACTTAGAAATCAAAACAAAACATAACATAAAAACAAAGATCAGTTTGCAACATAATTTAAAGAAGCTTCTGGTTCAAAATACCACAGCAGCAATATAAAGAACTGGTGGCAATCACATTTGGGGATGGGACCCAAATTAATATATTTTGTCCACGTCAGCATCCAATTACAGTAGTTGGTAAATTCAATCCAAAAAGTTATTGCTGAAATTTGTTGCATGGAATTTGTGAAGATAGTATTGTTCAGCAGCAGATCCATAGCAGTAAAAATGAGAACGGGAGGATTTCATTGCTTTTGAGAGCTAAAGGGACCATGATGAGGACATCTTGGTGATGGCCTGAAGATAATCCTCAATTCCATTATTGTGCATTATCTGCTTAAAATAAATGCAAAGGATAAACCCCTTTACAGGAGGGGTATAATCATCTACTTCAGAAACTGCAATAATTCCCCTGCCCTTCCCCCGTTTGCCCAAGCCACCAGATTGAATTGGTTCCATTTTCCTAACTTATATTTCGTTCTCATTAATAGTACATCAGCTGCTAATGTAGTTAGGCAAAAATCAGTAGGATCACAGACTTTAAAAAAAAATCTCTTTACAGTAATTGCTTTTTTCAGAAACAAACCACATTAGTTTTTGTTGATGTTGGATTTTTTTTTTTTAATTTTTGAAGAACAATTTGGTCAACTACTGTTTTGTTTAAAAAATATTAAATACACCTGAGATTGCCAGTTGAGCTCTCTATATGTCTCCTGGAGATAACACTGCTGTGATGAACAGTGAAACAAAACAAACGAAACGAGGTAGGTTAAAACAGGAAGCGCAACACAGATATCGTTTTGCAACACCTTGATACCACAGGCGGCCATGCTTGTAGCTTTGGAAAAAAAACCCCAGACAGTCACGTAAAAGTTCAAATCATCCGAGTAAGAGTTTATAAGGACACAAGTCAACCTGAACTAAATACATACATATCTCTGCACAAATGTTGTTTACCGTATGTTGGGTAATTTGGAGGAAGGGAAAATGATCAGGGTCTCAGAATTCTGGCCAAAGCCTTGCTTTAAGTTCTATAAACTCTGAACCAGTGATGCCTGCTGTGTCTCACGCAGGCCTAGTAGTCTAGTCCCTTCTCTCACCAACCCAGAGAGAACACAGGCAGCTCAGAAACATTTATTATTATTATTTTTTCAGTCACAGTTTTCATCTTGAGAAAGTGGCACCCTCAGGAGAAAGCTGGGAATGACCAGAGTCTGGATGTCATTCACTCCCCAATTCCCAGAAAGAACTCAACAGTCTCACTCCTAATGAAGCCCGAAGCCAGTGACCTCTTAGCTAGAGGCTTTGTGCATTAAAAAAAGAATGTGTATATATATATGTGTGTGTGTGTGTGTGTGTATTTATGTATATATATATATATATATAGGTATATATATATATAAATTTTTTTTTTTAGTTTGTTTCCCAGAAGCTCTTTTTGTCCGACCCCATCAGTCATCCCATCTTTTGCCCTGATCTGTTGCATAATAGCTGAGGGAAAGTTGTGTTATAGAGTCCCTCAATCGCTAGAGCCAACTCAACACAATGGCACTACTATCCCATTCAACACATTCCATTCTGCACAGGGCCATATAAAAATAGGGCCTGTCAGACTCACAAAAATGGTAGTTGATTTTATTAGTCTAAGGCTAGTAGTTTAGCCATTTAAAATCTATTTCCCCAAAGAGGGGAAAACTAGTATTTTTTCTTTTCTTTTAAAAATTCATTAGCCAGTTGCTATCAAAAAGCAACCTTTTGGGTTGGTGAAGGCAAAAGAGTTCTAAAATTACCCCACTATGCAATTATGGCCTTCAGTGTAAGGAGATAAGGTACATTTATTGTGCTGTCTCTCACCATTTGAAATTGGAAATTTTACAACATATCGTATACTTAAAGCTAGCAGGCAGACAGAATTAAAAACAGACTCATTTTCTCAGTATGCATTCTCTCCCCATTCTTACAAAGTAAGGGGGTAAAGGAAAAAGGTGGAAAAACAAAAAGCAAAACTCAAAACCCACCATAACACAGCTTAAACATAAGAGCACACAATATTTGTTTCTATCCCTAACTCCGAAGGGCACATGGTCCATATTTGTCCACAAACAACGCAGCATTCTTGGGGGTCTCCTGGAAATTCCTGCCACGTTTTTCTCTCCTTCTCAACCAGGCTGCAACATTGAAAGATGGACTGTGGACTGTACTGGGACAGGGGGAGGGAGAGGAAAAGGGGAAAGCGGTATGTTCAACCAAGCCTTCTGATTCTGCTCTAGACTGGCTTATGTCCACATGAGTTATGTTCTTTTTAATTAGAAACAACGCCATGAAGACAAGTGCCAAGTGCTCTTCTGTTACCAGTTCATCATGGAATTTCTGTTGAGGGTCATGAAAAACACTTGGCTACTTCCTCCAGATCGCACGGATGCAAAAAATACCTGTTTGAAATTAAAAAGAAGTTAGTTCAGCTGCATGGTTTCTTTTCCTCTTTTCTTCAACCGTCCATCCATTTTCTCTCACATGTCCTATCCTTGCCATGTGTCAGCTCTTAAGACTCAACAGCTGGTGTTTATAAAAGTGCCTTTTAATACAGTGCATCCTCTGTAAACACTCCTGACTTGATTCCTATGATTGTTACTATTACATATTGTGGTACTGGCCTTCAGGAACACAGGAGGGGCTATATCTTGATTGGCAGCATCCCTTAGGATGCTCACATTTTAAACGGGCATTTCATGCTAGGTAATGTGCTAGATTTTTGGCCTAGGACACAACAGGTCCTTTGTTAATCTCTAAAAAGCCATAGAGGCTTCCCTTCTCTCCCCCATAATGATGAGAGGGCAGACTTTAGGACTGAAGAGAATCCTTTCAAATTCCCAAAGTCACGGGGGTGGGGGTGGATTTTGGGTCTACTTACTACTATACAACTTCAGTTATCAATTTTTAAAATAAAAAAAAATGGTGTGGTCAGATAGGATAAGGTGTCCTCATGCCTATTCACTTTGGTATATCAAGAGTTAACTCTTGGCTTGTCTGCTGGTGCAGGCATATCCTAGGCCAAAGGAGATAGGGTATTAATAAATAGAACCACAGTCCATTAGGTCTGGGTCTGTTACATCATTTTATCAAACAACTAAGAGGAACGAGCAAAATTTGGGTTACTGCTTGCTTAAATGTCAGTGAACCACTGCCCTGGGAAAATAATATTCTGGGCTGTGGCGTAGCCCTTAGTCAGCCAACATCAAACTTTGGTCCAAGGCATTTACTTTTGTCACTAGTGTAAAGTCTCTGCTACTTCATTTCCACAACTCCTTCAGAATGCTGTCTCTCCCAACAACAACTTCCTAGGAAGTTCTGGGGAAATGCTTATCATTCAGCTAATGCTACATATGTAAGTAAGTATAGCTACTGTTAGGGTCAATGACTCAAAATGGGGAAGCACAGAGGACCCATGGAAACACATGGCGGGGGGGAAGGAGAAGAAAGGGCGGCTGTTCTCTCCAGGCTGTGTGCACCCTGGACTCTGAAACTTGGGCCCCAGATACTGGTGTGGTCCCAGCCTGCTCCCGAGGGTGTGGGCATGGCTTAGAACAGGCTTGCTGGGGTGGGTCGTCAATGAACTGGAATGTGAGGATCTACACCCAGCTCACTCCTAGTCTTATGATCCCCAGAGGCTGGGTTGGGCCTGGAGTTTTACCAGGGGTCAGGTTTATTTCCTGGCATACTCCGGTAAGGCCCTGGAACCATCCTTGGCACCCACAGCTGTTGTCTACCCAGACCGCACCAGGTCAGAGTAGTTGGGTTAAATACAGTCTGGACTCACACCCCCAGGGTTGGAATAAGACCAATCTGGCCTCTGGGGAACCAGGATGGACCAAGAGATGTACGTCTGTTCAACCCATCACATTCTTTACTATAGGTGTTTATGCCTGCTATTTGGGGAGAGCATTCTAAGTTGGCCATAGTCACAAAGGATGGATTCACAAATGACCACAGCTTAGCTCCTAAAAACTCTGGGTTAGTCTACTGGGAGGGCAAGGGAGAAGCAGCACTGCTACAGAATACCCTTCTGAGGTGACTGATCATGCCAGACGGACTCCACCAATTTCACTACAAAACAGTCCCCCTATGACACTTCAGAAGAAACATGGCTGGAATGACACAGGACATGGCACTAGTTGAGTTTGTGACTGTGCATTTCTTAAGGAACGGGTGACATTTTTTTAAAAAGTTTATATTTCTCCATGTCAAATGTTTTACATTTAAAAGTGAATATAATGTGATGCATTGGGTCCCCCATAGTGACTTTGTGAAAAGTCTCCAAGTGGAGCGCAGAGTTGACCCACTGTGAGTGATTAATGATGGGCCAACTCTCCCGCACGCGTAGGAGAATTTGGGATGTCTGCTGAGTCAGCATAAGGCCGGCAGGCCACAAAAGTTGCTAAGAGTTTACAAGAAATTTTAGAAGTTTTAATGTCTTTTTAAATATGTGAATAATATATTTTGAGGGTTCACATGAATCAAACCAAATAATGCCATTTCAAGAGAATATTGATTGTTTAACACAGATGTGATTCAAATCAGTATAAAGGAAAATGAAGGTTTCACAGGTACCTGGTGGTCTCTTAAAATGCAAACACTAATGCAAATGTTGAAACGGATTTACCTTATCATTTCTTTCACATAGAAACTTTAACCTTTGAGCTCGCTTATGCATAAATACTCCATCCAAATGTCCTGTTTCCACTGACCGGATCTCAATAGCTTTCTCGCCCCAGCCCATTATCTGATTGGAATGAATGTAGGCTGTCAAAAGGAATTTCCAAAACTGCATTAAAAACATTAGATGGGCAATAACTCACAGCATCTGTTCACATCTTAACCACAAAAATGACAAACGACTTGAGATAAACAGACAAAGCAAGTCTTACAAGTGTTATTCACAGACTGGTTTTTTTTTGTTTTTGTTTTTTGTTTTTTTGTTTTTTGTGGAATCAAATGGTTGTTTCACATTTCTTGACTTTCGTTTCATTTGGGGGGTGTAACTGCTGAAGGAGATAAGGAATGGTTAACCTACCCACAGACGTGGGCATTTCTCCCCATTGGAGCACCACATCCTTAGTTATCCGGCCATAGGTGTTTACATACACGCCCTCATCCTCATAGCAAACAAGCATTTCCATTCCATCTGTTTTAGGCAAGATGACAATGGCATGAGGAGTGATATTGCCCTGAATCTAGGAGACAAAGAAAGGCCAGGCATTATTCTTTTTAAAAATAAAACAGCATCTTGACTATTCATCTCTAAGAATCGCAAAAAAGAGGATCCCCTCCCTCCTCCCCCCACCCACCATTTTCATTCTAGAGACTGACGTTTTGCTTTGCTTTGCTTAATTTAACCACTGACCTGTCAAATACCTATACAAATACAGACTTAGGCACTAGGTCGAGAATCCAATTGACCTGTTCCCTAAAAACAACTACAGGTATAGAACACCGACTATGTGCCGAGCCCTGGGCTCTTTACATATATCATTTCTAGTCCTTAGAACAGTTCCCTGTGGTAGATATCATCCTCTACAGATGAGGCATCTGCATGTCAGAGGGGTTATGTAGATTGAGCAAAGCTGCACTGGTATTTGGTGGTAGAACTGGGATTTGCACACATGTCTCACGGACAATAAAAAATCACTTGTTTTCCATCTACTTCTAAAAAAAAGACGAGGGGAATGCAAACCAGCTGAATCTGATGGAAACAGCCTAAACATGGTCAAAGGTGGGACCCAAAGAGACGCCTACCGAATAGGCTCTGAGCGTACAACACGGACTATCTGGGTGCCTAAATAACAGAATAATCCAAATTAATGGCTTGTTGAGAAAAACATTTAAAATGACCACTCATTTTATTGGAATCAATGTAGATGGACTTGTTGTGGGAGGGGAGATGCAGTGCTGCTGGGGTCCCCGGGCTGAGGCTGACATGGCAGCCCGCTAGTTGCCTGGCAGGGAAATGAGAGGACCGAGGATGATCACAGTGATGCCCCAGTCACCTCACCAAGAACGGGAGCTGTGAGTCCCGTGTACACACGCACACACATGTGTGGAAAGCTAGGCTGCAGCAGTGAATGCCGTGCGCGTGTGTGAGAGAGACCGTGTGTGTGTGTGTGTGTGTGTCATGTACTGAAACAACATTTTTCAATCATCGAACTTTTTTGCAGTAAAGCCTATAAACTCTCAAAATACCAACTGGCAACAGATCAGGCCTCAGACTCTCCTGACGGTGTCTACTGTATGTTAGCCTTGGGATCAGGTGCAGGAAACATGACTTGCACTGCACCCATCCTAATAAGCGACACCAGGCGCCGTATTTCTGTTTGACAGTCAGGTTTTAGGCAGTGTTCCAGTGTTATAATGTTCATACGACAATTTGCAGGGGCTTGTGCCAAGTACCTTAGAGGTATTACCTCATTTATTGCTGATGATAACCCTCTGGAATGGGTCCTTCTATCCCCATTTTACCGATGGGAAAGCTGAGGGTTCGAGAGACTGTCTAATGTGCTCATTGTTGCAAAATAAACACAGGCTAGAGCCAGGGTAGGCCTCCAGTGTCTGATTCTACTACACAACACTCCCCTCAAGTTGAAGAGAGCAACAAAGACAGCAAAAGGGGACCACAGACTTCCCAAGTCACATGAACCCATCTCCCTTCAAAAACTGAAAATAGGCAGTTGTCTATTGTACTCTTGCTTAAAATACACAATTTATGCCCCAAAGGAGAAATATCATACACATTTTAATCTAAAGTCCAGTAAGACAACATGTCTAGTAAATGGCAAAGAATTGCTGTTATGGGTTACTTAGTTTTAAGCACTCATAAAAATCAATTACAGTCACACGTTTTATGTATTAAAAGCATTGTCTAATTAGTGAAGGCTTTTAGCCTTGATAGTGCATCTGCTGTACCGATTAGTAGAAATTAGCATGACTTCCACTAAAAATGTGCAAGAACAAATCCCTTTCTACATGCGTTGTTGTAGAACTCAGGAACTTACATGAGATGGTATGTAGATATCATAAGAGTTTCCTGAATCAACATCAATTACATGAAAACCAGTGTGTGATCCAAAAATAACCTTCAATCTTTGACCTTCTTCTACCGTGAGATCAACAAGCAGTGGCTTGTGCTGGAGATCTGCAAAAGACTTTAAAAAACACCCCATGAGTGTCCACATCATTTAAAGAGATTATCTTAATCATTGTTTCTTTTAGCACAGCCTGGTGGAAGTTAATGTCTGGCTTTCTTACACTGAAAAGCCAGGAGATTTCTCTTTCAGCTTAGCTCTATTCGTATTCTGGCTCTAGGAGGAAGGGTCTAGCACTCATTTGTGGCCCCTTCTCCACCCCTTGTCCTCTAGGGCAGAGAAGAGGTTTACAGTTGTCAATTTCGACAGTGTCCTTATCCTTGAAGAACTTGGCATCTGGGTGCTGCTGTTCTTTCCTCTTTATTTCTGGCCTTTTTTCTCTGGAGAAGGCCCAGCCACCTCTCTGGCTCCTTCCCTTCCCATGGAACAGCCGGGCCCTTGCATGGCCATGACCCTTTCAGAGACAGCCTGGGGTGGGCAGCTGGACCAGCTCTGTGCTAAGTCTGTTCAGAATTAACAGGCACACTCTGGTTCTGATTTTCCTTCAATGAGTGAGTAGACATCAGATTGGCACCTTCTTTAAACGTACTGCTGAACTCTGAGACTTGGGTGTGGGCAATAGAGAAGGGGGGAGGTTGGAACATCACAAAACTCATGGCTTACATAGGCTAGTTCAGCTTAAGTAGCGAGGAGAAAGAGAGCTCTACCCAAGTTTACCAAGGTTCCATGTGTTTCAATCCAGAGCCCAAGCCCCAACTAGCTGCCAGGCATTCCTCTGTTTTCTTTTGCCATTATTTCAGCACAGTCTACTTTTATTGGGCCTTGACATCTGGGAGAGAATTTGCGAAACCACAAGTTACTCAGCTATAATGTCACTGCCACCCAATAGAGCCCTCTTTCTTCAGCTTTTGCTAACGGAGTCTCACGGTAGGGGAAGCTCCCGTCCTTCCTGTTCCAGTCCTGGCTTTCACGCCGCCCTCCTGCCAGGCTGGGCGTGGTCGACTGAACACAGCATTTTGCACCGTTTCATGCACTTTGACTGGTAAACTGATGGCAGTAACTTCCGAACCAGAATCAGAACGGGACCTTGACTGAAAAACTTTTGTGGACCCAGGTTTTGGCACAATGGCAGCACCGCTTCAGCTTTTAGATGTCACCCCTTAAGTGTTATTACTAACCTAATACATTCCAACACTTTCTCTCCATAAAAGTGGGGTTATGGAGGAAGAGCATTTCCACTGATGTATCTATCTTCCTGAGCACATCACAAATGAGCTCCTTGCACTAGGGGAACAAGACAGCCTCAAAGAGTGCCTCATGGTGTTCCCAAGGCAGCTTCGGCCCTCACACGGCATAAGTGGCCAGAAAGAATACAGAAAGGATCAAGGGAAGAGGAAAGTCACAAGGGTGGGGAGAAAACGTGAGGGCCAGTGTGCTATGAAGAAAACGAGAGACACAGGCAGAGAGAGACAGGGGACAGAAGAGAAATTCACGTGGGCTCTGGATAAAGTCTGCAGCTCTGGAAACACCCAAGTGCCTGTACATACGGTCCTTCTGGCATTTGGGAGTCAACTTTCATGAGCCGGGGTCCATCATACTAGCACATCCTAATCGCACTCCTGCTGAGTGTCACGAGTGACCAAGCCAACCAGGGTGGGTACAGGCTCAGATAAGGTCCAAAATGAAAAAGGAGAATGCAGAGAAACTAAGCCATTTTCTTGTGGAACTACATTCAGTATTCATTTCAGAGAAGTCCAATAATTGGGGATATATGCGCATTATGCGAGTTGTAGGGACTTTACCCCAAAAGGCTTATAAGGACGACAAGATTTGGAGACATGGTTCATCCTTGAGATTTGGAACCGCTGTTGGTCTGCCTTTTTGAGATGACATATCAGAGATTACCCTAGTTAAGTGCCTTTATAATGACTTACATTGCCTAATATCACAATTGGTGCTTTGCCCAGTAGCCATCCCATACTAAAGGCCCCTAGGAGACAATGATTTGTAGACCTGATATGGAGGAGGGCACAGCCCAATTTTTTCCCCATTCACTCATCCCCCACCCCCAGTAAATTTTATAGCATGTATTAGTGCTTAGTCTTTGCTTTTGGAACAATAAGCCTAAGAGCTCCTCTACTTTTAAAGGGGGTTTATTATATATAGTAGAATTGGTCCTAGTCGATGTGCAAGACAGACAACTTTGTTAACTGGTGCGAACATAAAATTTAGAAAAAATCCCTTTTTTAGGTAATTGCGTGCTCGCTTACCTTAAATGCCATGAACTTATGATACGGTTTAGGAGCCCAAGCATATATCTCCACAGCATTCTTTAAGGCAATCACTAGGAATTTAATCCTTTCATATTTAACTGTAATAGACAAATTATAAATTAAAAAAGTATACCAACTTATTCAGGTTTTTGCATATGTAAATACACATTATGCTCTCGGTGGGAGATTTGCTCATTGATACAGACTGAACTTTCTTTAAAGCACTCGGTCTGCAGAATACTTGGGGCATTTTGCTTTATACTGAAGCTGCTTTTCTTCATCTGAAGGCTTAGGATTCTCTTTAATCGCTAGGTCTAGATATGAATTATTCATTGTAATAAGAACCTGCATAATCACCTTCATGTTCCCCTCCCTGGCTTTTACAGTCACCCACATGCTAGAAGCTGAGAGCTGGTATGGCCAAATGGTAGAAAAATTAGCAAATGGGTAGAGATGTAAAGGTGGCCATTTGCTTATTATCCAAATTTGAATTCCAATTATTAGGGATTTAAAAGTGGTTAGTGCCTTTATAAAAAAGGCCCTAGAAAGATCCCTCTCTCCATACACTGCATGAAGTCGTAGCAAAAAAAACTGCTGTGTATGAACCGGGAAGCAGGCCCACAGCAGACACTGAGTCTGCCAGCACCCTGATCTTGGTCTTCCCAGCCTCCAGAACTGTGAGAAATGCCTGTTGTTCACGGTATTCTGCTATAGCAACCTGAACAGGCTAACACAGTACACGTGGCGGTCATTTCTTTTGTAGAATATTTGAATGAACACAATACTCATGTCCTAAAGAAACTGGACAGCCCACAGCAATGAACCAAATTCTTGCTCCCTGGGCTCTTTTTCTTTAGTGTGCCCCTGCTGTTTACATATTCTGTCTTTAATATACTTTCAACTACTTCCTTGGTTATTTACTTCCATATTTCTAAATAACATGCTTATAATGTTATTTCTTGATTTTTTTCTGTTGGAGGTATTATCTATTGACTTGAGAGTATGGGAAGGGTTTAGTCTCTTAGCACCATCTCCTCTGTCTAGTTCTCTCTCTCACACACACACGTTTCCTCCTCCCCCACACCACTAATACAGTTATAGTTCAAATTTGTGGTTGAATCAAGATCCCATGTTGAAATGATTGTTGTTCACAGCTGAGGCATATAGCACACCACAATTACATTTTCTTTCTTGTCTTTCATCTTTTTTCCCCCCACTTCCTTCTTTTCTATACATCTGTCTCTAAGCACATGGACTTTCTGCTGGTGCTGTAAATGCCTTCAATTCAGTCAAATGTGTCAGGTAATCTATTTGTGACATTTTATTTTCCCTGAAGGCACCCCTCTTGGAACACTCCCTTGTCCCACTCTACTTGGACCGATTTCTCTCTAGGCCTATGGCAGAGTTGGCACCCACATTTCCTTCACCATCATTCTGGGTATTCTCTTCACTTTTTACCTGGATTCCTAGGTTTATGCCTTTATTTTGGTGGAATACATCGGCCAGTAGTTTCCTGAGAAACCGTGTATGGAACATAAATGTTGTGAGACCCTGCACATCTGAAAAATGTCTTCATACTGAATTCAAAGTTGACTGATGGTTTGATGGCGTGATGTTTAATTTTATGTGTCAACCTGACCGGGCCACAAGGTGCCCAGATATTTGGTCAGATATTCTTCTGGGTGTGTCTGTGAGGGCTTTTCTGGATTATATTAACATTTGAATGGGTACACTGAGGAAAGCAGAATGCCCTCTCAGTATGGAGGGGCCTCATCCAGTTGATTACAGACCTGAATAGAATAAAAAGATTGAGTAAGAAGACACCTCCTGCCTGACTGTTGAGCTGGGAAACTGGTCTTTTCCAGACTTCAGATTTGGCCTGAGAGACTGGCTCTCCTGGGTCTCCAGCTTGCCAACTACAGATCTTGGGCCTCCATAATTGTGTGAGGCAACTTCTATAATAAACCTCTTTATATAGAGAGAGTATATTTACACACACATATATGTATGCCCCTTACACACACACACACACGTATGTATGTGTGTATCCTATTAGTTCTGTTTCTCTGGAGAACCCTGGTTCACGCAGATGGGTTATAAAATACTAGTTGAAGGCTTTGTTCCATCATCTTCTAAGTTCTAGTATTGCTGCTAAACCTCAAGCCACCTAATATATAAACTATTTGTTTATTTATTTAATTATAATCTGGAAGCTTTAAGGACCTCCTCATTTCCTGGGTACTGAAATGTTATGTTAATATATCTTCCTGTGAGTCTTCTTTTTCATTCACTATACTGGGTATTCACAGTGAGTCCTTTTAATTTGAGATTTTAAGTTCTTAGTTCTAGAAATTTTCTTATATTACTTCTTTGATGCTTTCTTCCCTTTCCAATTCTTATTTTCTCTTTTTCCCAAACTCATGTTACTTAGATTTTGAAGCACTTGGACTGACCCTTTTGCTTTCTTAACTTTTGTCTCCTTTTCTTTTCCTTTCCTTTTCTTCTTGTCTTACTTTCTGGAAGATGCCTCATCTTTATCTTCTGATACATCTACTACGCTTTTTATCCCTGCCAATATATTCAAATTTCCAAGAACTTTTTCTTGCTCTCCGAATGACCTCCCCTGACCCTTTTCCAACTGTTTTTCGTAATGGTCCCTATTCTTCTCTTCTGGAAATAGTTTTTCTAATCTCTCTGAAGTTATTACAGTTTCTTTTTAGTTTTCTTCCACTCCTCATTATGTTTCCTTTAAAGTTCTTTCTTTCTGTTTAAGTTTCCTTCCCATTAGTGGATGTCACCATATCTGGTACGGGTGTGGGCTTCAGGTTTAGATGGTGAGACAGCAAGCTTTCCATGGCACTTCAAATATTAGTACCTGGACATCTCTTCTTTCTGGCTATTTAGTTTCTCCAAAGACAAATCTTTCAATCTCTTGCTTGGGTATATAAGTATGCCTGCCAACATTCTAGGAGCTAAACAGGGGAAGTAGGGTATGTGTGTGTGTGTGTGTGTGCATGCGTGTGTGTGTGTGTGTGTGTCTGTCTGTCTATCCTGGCAATTCCACATTCCCACAATTCAGATTGGCTGTGCCAACTTTTCATCCTCTGTTGCAGTGGGAGAGAACTTGCTGCTCATCACCCTTCGAACAATCCTTCTGTTTTCAGTTCCACTGTATACCTCCATCTCAGGGGCTTCAGACCTTGGGCCTTTCTGGGTTCTGTAAGTGGCTGGATTGAGTTTGATGACTTTCCTCACTGCAGACATAGAATTCAGCATTTCCTGCTCATCTAGGTTAGTTACGCGTCATCCAGCTATTCTTGTTCAATTCTGTTGACATCTCTTGTTTGCTGGTTTCTCTTCTTCTGGTCCCTTTGTCCTTGTGGGTTTATGGCATTTTTATTCCTTCACTGTCATTTTAATGGGTATTTGGGAGGGAGTGGATATAAATGTTTAAACTGGAGCATAGGACTTTAGTCTGAATGCACTCTTAGAACTTCATCAATCTGACATTTTGGAAACAATGCAAGTATACCTAAAGTTTTAACAACATCTTAAACTGGTAACAAATACATCATCAATACCTACCAGAAAAAAATGGAATGACACTTAAACTGAATAATTAGGATTGAGTAAACAATTCCATGTGTTGACACTTACCAACTTTGTAATGTATGCAGCCTTCCAAGTCCCCAACTGTGATCCAGCCTTGTTTCTTTTCTACTTCTGGGTCATTGTGTAGTATTCTGTTTCTTAACCATGAAAGATAATAAACTCGTAGTTTGTTCTTCTTTCCTGTTGAAATAAAAGAGCTCTAATTTCAAGGCCCTGTGACAACCTTTTCCCTCAGTCCTTCCCCACCTCTCTTTTATTTTATTCACTTATTTTTATTCTATTTACAATTGTGTAGGTGTGTGAGGGCACAATAACCAGTGTCCCCAGTAACATCAAATTGTTGTCTATGCCAACAGCTCCAAGTGTTTTGGACAAATCACCATTTTATAATTTGTCTTTACCTTCAGGCAGTTTCTTATTTGAGCAAGCTGCTCTTTCTCTTCTCAATGCAAAGGGCAGTGTCAAGACCTAATTCTGTAAGGAATAGTTGGTCAGAGTTCCAAAACATTCTAGATCGAATCACATGAAGGAATGTTGATAACTGGAATTTTAACATGCTTATATGTGGCTGTCTTCCCCTCACCTTCTAACCTAACAGCATATGTCAATGAGAGCCTCTTATTCACCTCCTCGATTACTTTGAAGATGACAGCTGTGAGTAGTTTTACTTTATCTGATTAACAAAAAAGAATTATAAGGAGACAAGAGAAACAATTTTAATGAAGGCAAACCAGGCTCAGCAGAGAACCCTGGACACATCTATGACTCTGAGATCACTGACAAAAATACCAAACAAAAATAGTAGAGGAAAAGATGTTTACTTGGGAAAACCAAAGATGTGCACTTGGGAAAAAACAAAGTTCCCTTTGGTACAGCGCTTCTGGAGTAGGAATTCAACGATAAAAAAACATCTTAAAAATGTTGAGGAGGACACAGGAGCAAAATTTAATACACTCTGTGAGATTATCTGAGTACCAGATAAGAAAATGTTCCTTGGGGTGGCTTTTCCTTTACTGGGGGTGGGGGAGGTTGGGGGGGTGGTGGGGAGGTGGCTGTTCCTAAGTGATCATTTAGGTCTGTGGGTTATACTTCCTGGGTACTTATTTTCCCTTGACTTCTCTTAGGCAGCAAAGGATGTTTTATATTTTACAGATGTGATATATATAAGAACAAGAAAATTCATTAAAGCATTGCACACTGGATTTGACAGGACGGTGCGTTCATAAATTAAGGGAGTCACTGCACAGCTGTGATTCCTTTTTGTAGTCCAAGGCCCAGAATGGATCCTAAGAGCTAGGATGGGCAGAAAGGCCAGTGCTTGTGCCTTCCTACACCAATGCAGATCTGAGGGCAGTTGCTCCTATTTTCATTCTTTTTTCCCCATCTATACTTCATGGTAAGAGGAGATGGTTACTTTTTTAAGAATGGGAACGTGTCACTCACAACATAATGAAGGCTGAATGTGAATTTTCTGGCATCATTTCCACTTTCGGTAGGTGAGTGGCAGATGTATGTTTTAAATTTGATTTGGTAGGACCGCAGTCAGGCAAGCAATTAACAAGAGAAAAAAAAAAAAAGACTATGCCAAATTAAGCTCAAATGATGATACAAGAAGAATTTACTTGGCTCTTTTTGGGGAGAATAAAAAGAGATGAAACTCTGAGCACTCAGAGTTGATCCCTGGGCCCTACTCCCAGGGGTTCTGACCTACAGGTCTGGGGTGCATCCTGGGTTCTTCCCATCATGGTTCTAATGTTTCATACTGGGTGGGATGGGAAGGCACGGGGGGAAAGGGGATATTATTTATTAAACTCCTTCAAACATCATCAGAAAGCAAAGAACTTTCAATAAACACAGACTCTTTCAGGTTACACTGATAACTTGTCAGTAATAAGGTCTTCACTTCTGTGTCCATATTTTTTTAAAGTTCTTTTTTTGGGAACCGGAAAGCTGCAGGGCGTAGCTGTAACGACTCCCACATCCCAATCTCTTTGCAGACTCAGCCACCTAATGGGCCAGCTGCACTTGCTGAAACATCAACGGAGTATAAGCTAGAACAGTTCATGAGAGAAAAGAGACCAGAGAAGTTTCTGCTTACATAATTCTCCACTCTGCAAAGCCTACGTTTTGATAGTCTCCACCCAGGAGTAGGCAGCAATGACTAGAGCTCAGACTTCAAAAGCTCCTTGCTGAGTCCCGGCAGAGGTTAAAGGCCTATAAACAAACAGCCTCTGTGGTACGTCTGCCTGATTCAGAGATCACACGGGAGGTGAGAGGTTTCCCTTCGGAGGTCAGTATCTCCAGAGCTACAAAACAGGGGTGATCTCACTCTGGCTATCCTGCTATAATTTACTGTGTCACTGTTAGCCAGGGAGGGCAGAGCTTGCTGTTTTTTCAGGACTGAGGTGATGGCCTTTCCCACCTGTGCAGACCCAGGGGTCTCAGTCATCCTGGTAACATACTCGTAACATACCTGATATAGTCACCAGGACATTCAGTCCCTCTAGCACGTCCATCTGCTGAAATCGCCTCCGGTTGATCAGATTATAGACTTTGCCTTGCCCACTTCGGTCCAAAAGCATCAGGCCATTTTCCGTTCCCACCAGGAGGTTTACACCTGCAAATTTAAGGAGCACCCCAAGACTGACTTTTTGTATGTTTCAGCCTTTCTGCATCTGGGGTCCCTGTGAAACCTAAGAAACCGTGCCTTGTTAATATAAACTAATGGGCAAGTAGGTACTACGGTAGGAAGTGAAGAGGTCGAGGCTCTGCCACAGTAATTAAATCACTGCCCCTCTGGTAATAAGATTAGTTTTCTTTTATAAAGTGGTAGCAGCATCCATTACATCTGGCCATGTACCACTAGTATAGAGTCCTTCTCACGAGAAGCCTTGGGCACAGCTGTGACGCCAGCACAGTTAGCCTTTATTCCTTTCCTATAACACCCATCCCTTTCCTGGCTTTCTCTATAAATCCCACCTCGAGACATGCCCAAAGTTCATCCCCACCCCTGTTCATGCAGGGATTTCTAGCCTACCCACCTTCAACATACGGCAGAATGCCCCATTTCCACACCCCACTGGAAGAAAAGCCTTTCCTCCTTCTCACACCAAAGCTTACATATGTCTCATACCCTCAAGGCTCTGCTGTCTGTCAGGGAAATGACAGGCCAATGCAAGTGAAGGTGTTAGTAGCCTGAGAGTTGCAGGGCTACAAGGCACCACTCAGATATCTAAATCTGGTCCAGCCCATCTCCCGTGCACGAATCCCTATTACAAAAGCTCTAGCAGGTAAGTGGTCTTGTCTGGATAGCTGCCATCCTAAAAATTCATGCAAATTAACTCCCACCTGCCCTGCAACACACACACACTCACACACATACGTGCACACACGCTGAGGGTCCACTGTGTGGGACTATATTCATGAACAGGTAACTCTCTAACTTCTCTTGCTTTTGTACATTTATTTTTTGAGTAACATGAATGTCTATTCTTTTGTCCATAAATTATTCCATATTAAACATGGCCATCTTGTCTCCCGTCTCTTCTCCAGAGGACAGAGCCTTACTCCTTCCATCGTATCTCCCACGAAATGGTTCCCGGCCTTCATCCGCTTCTCTGAACATCTCAAATGCTTTTGCCCTTATAAAACTGTGGCGCCTCAAACTAGGCTTAGTATTTTAGGTGGATACAGAGGGGCCACGTCCTTCCTTAATCGATATGTGACATTTGCAGTAACACAGACCAGGACTTTGATAGAATCTCACCCAACCTAAACTGAGCTTGACGTCAGCTAAAACCCGTGCATCATTTTCATAGGAACTGCAGGTTGCTGTTTGAACTAGAAAGGAAAGTTCATCATCTGTTGTCCTTTTCAAGTTTTGTCTTGCTACTACTCGCCTTTGACAATTCACTCAAAGATGCGAGGCTGGCTTTCCAGCTGTGAAATGGGGGCGATGCCTTTCCTCCCCTTGCAGGATATTGTATAGGTCATGGAGGCAGAGTGTGGGGCACATCACATGGTGCTGGGCACATGGTGGGTGTGTGGTAAGTGGTAGCTTATTCTCTTACTGACTTGATAGCCTGTCACTATTATGTGACGAGCTCATTCTGAATCTGATCTTGTTATCCTGGGCGTTAGGTCATCAGGTCTTGCTCCATGTAAAACTGCTCTTGATCCCTCCTGAGGCCAAGACAGTCCTGCGTGGGGACTCTGACACCGTGATTCAACTACTGCTCTCCAGATGGTAAGCCCCACAGGCTTTTAAGGTTTGAGGGTTGATCTCTTAGTAAGCGGTAAAAAGCAGCACTTACCCCAGAGAGCGGCACAAAGTATTTCCGAGTTGAATCGCTTCTTATATTTTCTGATTTCTGGTGTGTCGCTATGAGGTCGAATGTTGGTTGGGTTTACGTTTACCACTGAAATCTTTCTTGCTTCATTGAACTTGGCCTGTTCTTGCCTAAGAAGTTCGCTAGTAAACAGAGCTTTGAGAAAAAGAATCGGAGAAGTCACTGGCATCTTAAAAAATAAGCAATGGAGATATGGAGATGGCACTTCAGAACACTATAATTTCTCCCTGTTTAGTGGGAATTAGAGAAAAGGCAGAGTAACTCTGCAGCTATGCATATTTTATACACTTTTTAAAGTAGAATACAGTATAAGTCATTCACAGAAGCACTATTTTATCCATTAGTAAAACAGACTTATGAATACGACTTGGGTAGTTTAGAGAATAGATACTCATCTCACAAAATTGAACACACCATCTCCTATATCATACACAGCAAGATTTACTTTTTAAAATTCCGTATCATCAGCTGAAAAACTGGCCTAAACTTCCCCGGATGATTAGTGAGTTGCGTAAGTCCAGAAAGCATGACTCTCCTCTCAATCAGCCAGACCCAGGCGGTAGGAAGCACACACCTAGAACCCAGCACAACTCGACACGCACTTATTAAGTGTCTACTGCGTGCACAGCATTGTACCCAGAAATTGCTTTTGAGAAGTATGTGGTAAGTTTGGAGGTCTCTGAGGAACAGCTTTTCCCAGGGCCCCTGGATACCTCTGGGTTCCTACCAGAAGCAAAATAGAAGAGATGAAAAAAAAAATGGAGAGAAAGAAATTGTTTTAGAAATCCTACAATAATAATAATAATAATAATAAAAACAAAACAAAACAAAACACAACTTCCCTTTAAGGCAGGGCTTAAGCAGAAAATGGCTTATCTACTAGACCGATAAGCACTGGGTGTTGTATGAAAACAATGAATCATGGATCACTGCGTCGAAAATGGGTGATGTATTGTATGGTGACTAACATAACATAATAAAATAAAATTAAAAAAAAAACTACTGGACCAACAATTAATTTCGTTATCAGGTCTTATCAGAAAGGAAAACCAAGCCGTTACTAAAACATCCAGGCCTTCTAACTTACCCGCAGCTGATGATTCTTCATCTTCTTCATCTTCATCAGTGGGAGACGTCTGGTATACCCTGGGGTCCACAAAGGGGGTGAAGGAGGCCTTTGTGCTGCTCCCCATGCCGTACTAATCGATATGCAAGAGGATTAAGAAAAGCAGATAAATAAATACTACAGGAATGAACAATGCCAGGAATATTTTGCTCGGGCTTTAAAATGATAACAGATTCTTCCATCTGTTTAGCTGTTCACACTCTAACCCCCGAGTCCAAGTATGTGCCTCTCTCTCCAACTTCTCCTGGTCTTGGTTGGTTACTCACCATGGGGCCTTTGCTAGGGCCCCATTAATTGTCAGACTGTAAGAGTTTCAGTGAGCAAATTACATTTTGGACAATATGGTAAGATGACTGTGGTGACAGAGCTCATCTCTCCCTTGAAGTAAAGACAACCTCATATTGACCACATGGTCTGAAGAAAAGCTGACCCAACTGGTAATAAACTAAGTCAGCATGTTCACATGGCAGCATTTCATCCCGAACATACAGTCAAGCTCCACTTGGAGCTTTCACGTACATTCTCTCCTTTGATCTTTAGAAGAAGTCTGTGAAGGAGGTGAGACAGGTACTAATATTCCATTTAGAGCTGGAGCAGAAGCAGAATATGAACCAGAGTCCAATCCCATGGGCTTCTTCTTGGTACCACGAGAGGTGTTCAGGCAGAGAAAACCTGCCTGCACCGCGTGAAGCCACGAGAGGAAATGCTGCACCTTCCAGTACACCTCTGTGTTCTTTCCCTCAGGCTAAACAAAGCTCATCTGCTCAGTAACTATAGAATCCAAGGGGTGTATCAGGAAAACTGTGTGGACAGCATCAAAAACACCAGTGCGTATGCTTCTTCATTAGCTTCAGGGCCTGTGTGTGACTCACAGGACTATTCGTGAAACATGACCAAGCACCACGAACTCATCCACCGGTCAAGCCTGGATGACCACACCTACGAGCACTGCCTAGCAGACTGGATTTATTCAGGCTGTTTCTATATAGGAAAGATAATATCTCAGTTCTCCCTTTCCCATTCAATTTGAAATTTAGGAAGAGGAATGCTTGGAGAACCTATCTATTTTTATCTTTCATTTAACAAATAATTTCAACCTCATTTTAGGTCCAACTTAGTTTGACTAAATTGATGTAAACATGAATCTCAACTTAGCCTTGGGATCTCTATAAGCTGTAGTTTCTAGCACTGGCCTGGGAGATAGGAAATCCCAGTTCTATAGAGATCTGTCACAAACCAGTTGTATGCCTTGGGCAAGTCCCTTAACCTCTCTGAGCCTCAATATTCTCATCTGTAAAAACAGGTTTTGGGCCAGACGATCTCTGAGAACATTTACTGCTGTGCTTCTGTGATTTTCCTCCATTTAAGTATTTGCATAAGTAGTTATATAGTAGAAACCAACCAAACACATTTCCGGGAGCTTAGCAAAGCCTCATTCCTGAAGCCGGCTCCCCACCTCACCCCCCGCCCCCCCACGGGGTGAGAACAGAGCTGTGGAGGCTATTGCCTAGCACCTACTTCAGTCCCGGATTCCATCTCCTGGGAATGGGTGGAGACGCGCCCCAGGCCCTCAGTCGGTGTCCCGGCCGGGGAACGGCTCTGCTGCACCAGGTCTGGGAGATTGATGTGGCCAGCAAAGCCATTGCTGTCACTGTGGCCAGATCGCTTCTTCTCTCCAGACGTCTGGGGTGGGGGCACAACACATGGGGAGCATTAGACAGGGATTAGAGAGGGAGGGCAAAGGCCATAGAGTGATGTCACCCCTCATATAGCACAGGCACAGTGGTCTCCAAATGGACCCGTTGGGGTGTGTGGGAAGATAACCTCCACATTTCTATTTTACTAAGAAAATAAAGAAGAAGTTAAACTTCGTTACTATTTAGCATATGGACTGACCATGGGGCCTTTTGCTTCTGCCTTCAGGGCCACACGGGATGTGGGGGTTCCCTGGGAGAAGACAGGAGGTGGAGGGGCTGAGCACCCAAGGTCCGCATTTGCACGGTCCCCTTCTGCCGTGTTTGTGTGTGTGCCTGTGAGCACACCAGTTAACCGGACTTGCAGATTATATGACCAGGTCACAAGACACAAATCCACAAGACACACACACATGACCTAAAATATTGCTGAAACGAAGAGGTTGGGATGAGATAATGCTAAGAATCCATGTACCATGTAGCCCAAGAAAATGCAGAGATGATATCAACCAGACTCACAGGGCTCTTTGTCAGTCGTGAGGTCAAAACAATGATTAATGAATCAGATCTGATAGGAGTTACAAAAGAGAATGTACTGAAATAATCTACAGATTATTTGAAACAACGGGTTTATGTCCGCTATTAATATTGAAACTCTCATAAGCAATTATGGTGTCGTGTAGTAAAAAATGGAAGTCATCATGACTAGCAAAGTATTTGAAATATTGTTTATGGCATCCCTTTTTAATGTCCTCTCAAGGTATTTTATAATATAATATGTGCAGTAGGACACATGCATGATTTGTAAATAAATACACTCTAATTATGGGGCACCTGGGTGGCTCCATCGGTTAGGCGTCTGACTCTTGATTTTGGCTCAGGTCATGATCTCAGGGTTGTGAGATCGGGCCCCACATCATGCTTAAGATTCTGTCTCTCTCCCTCTCCCTCTGCCCCTCCCCAACTTCTATGTGCATGCTCTTTCTCTCTCTTAAAAAATAATACATTGTAATTATGTGGCGTGCTCTAAAATTTTTACTGTTAGGGTTGTATGACCTAACAAGTTTGGAAACCACTGCTCTGGAGAGTAAAGCCTCCTCCCAAAAAATCCCAGGGAAGAAATACAGGGCTAAAAGACAACTCTGCTTCCTAAAAGCCAGTGCCCACCCTATAGGCCTGGCTAGTACTGTGCTTCCCAACTTAACATTTATGCGACCAACTCACTGAAGTTTCTTAGAGCAGACCTGACTAAATAAACGAGTCCCTTCTTTGCCTTTGCTTTCATTCATTCACTCACCTAACATTTCTGAGTGCCTACTGAGTGTGACACGTTTTGCTGAACATGGAGGAATGAGCCAGGATCAGGGCAGGCAGAAGCACTCATCTCCTTCTTTGGGGGTGGCTGGCATGGCCTCACTGGCCTGACTTCCCCCTTCCAGAGCCTGTCCTGGTCTTGTAAGGACCACTTGGTACCTGCTTCTGGCTAAAAGCGAAAGGAGGCACTTTTTGGGGGGAGACGAAACAGATCCCCAAGTTCCTGAAAGGGTGCATGTAATGAGTGTTGCCAGGGAGCTTGAGAAATAACTGGAAAGCGGAAGCATGCTCTGTTTTTTGGCAGCATGCTCCTGGCCTGCCGGCCAGGGGTATTTTCTGGATTCATTCTGTCCCGGTGCTCATCCAGGTACTAGTGCCAGTTCTCAGAGCTGAACACTTTGTCTTCTAAATGATATTTATGGGGTTCAGTCCTGATTCATCTCACTGTCTCCAATTTTATGTGTACTGGACAGCTTTTCCTTCCTTCCTTCTAACTTCTGTTCAAATACTGAAAGGCTTTTTAACATTTCCCCCCAATCTCCCAGTAGCATAAGTCACACATAGTGTCTCTTTAGAGTTTCACGGGTTCTCTACTCTATCCCTAGCATTCTGCCTCAAGCCGAAAACAGCTTATCAAAGAAAGACCTGAAGAGGCTAACAAGGGGGAAAAGGCCCAGACAGTGAGAAGCCTGAAGGAATCCAGTGGTGACCCCCGAATCTTCCCACTCGGAGTCATCAGCTTTTGTCTATTCGGCCAGCTCCTTAGAATTAAATACCTTCTGTGTGCCACGCACTCAGCTGGGAACGCAGAGATAAGTGAACAACAGCCCTGCCCCCGAGGACCTCCTTGCAGAGCCCATTTCTATAGTCTCTCCACCCTCACCATTCCCATGGGGCTGGGCACTAAGCTGTTCCGACTAACAATATGTATCTGGGACATGCCAAATGCTTTAGGTATGGTATTCCACGCAGTCCTTAAGATAACACCATGGGTTAGCTTTCATTATCCTCATTTTACAGATGGAAAAACTGCAGCGCAAAGAATTTAGCTGGCTTGCTCCAAGCGGCACAGGTTCTAAGTGCTGCAATCGGGGGCTGCCTGGTGGCAGAGCCCCGGTGCTTTGGGTGCTGCCATACGAGGTGGCTCTGCTCTCAGCCATAGCTGATCGGACCTGGAGTGGACACCCGAACCACGGAGGATCAAATTCCCTTTTGCATTTAATGTTGGGGCGGAGAGACACTGGTCAGTTTCTGCTGGACAGCTGAACTGGGTGGGAGGTGGCGCCTGTCTTGCAATTGGAGGGTGGGAAGAAGTGAGAGCTCGTGCATGCAGAGAGAGAGAAAGCGGGCCTGTAGAGTAGAAAGAACAAAGGAGCAATTGGAGGAAAGAGAAAGGAGGGAGAGGAGAGACAAGGCATCGAGGAAAGCAGAGATGAGAGTAAGGAGAGACATGCAGTGAGAGAGCCAAAGATAGGCACACGAAAGCTGCCTGGGCTCCTGATCCTTTTTAGTTTCTGGTCCCAGCCCTGCACAGAGTCCCAACTTACTCTCTGCCTTTGGATTCCTTGTATGAAATACCTCTGAATTTTTAAGCCTCTATCTCTGATACCAACCCCTCCTTAAGTGTTTTAAGTGGATTCTTTTTCCTATTATTTCCTATTACCAGCTGGTCAGTAAGAAAGATGCTACAGACAGAGGCCCATGGAGTGCCAAGAGAGGCTTCAGGGAGAAAGGGAAGGCTGAGCCAGACCCACAAGGAGCTGCTGGGTGAGAAGTGGGCAGCAGGGGCAGTGGGGAAGGGAGAATACCTCTTCCAGCAGATGGGTCCCTATGGATGAAGTGGGAGATGACAGCTGGTGTGGTGGGTTCTAGAACTAGAGTAGGGAAAAGTCCTATAGGCCATAGGATAGGGGGAGAGAAAACCACAGGGCCTGGGCGTGCACTAAATTTGTGCATCTTGGCAAGACTGAGGGTAGTAGAGCCGGTATCCTCTGGAACCATCTTGTCCACTTAAGTGAGAATGCTGACATGAGTGAGCTCTCCTTGATGTCCATCTTGGGGAACTGAACGATAGCACCCTATAAGCTAAGTTCTATTATGAGTTCTTCTTTTCTTACTGTTTCGTCAGGGACATACTTTTATTTGCATTCCACTTTTTAATACCTGTACTTTTAATGGATTCCAACTCAAGGTTTGTTATTTTAAAAGCTCATATTTGGGAAAGGTGGAATTTTAGAAACTGAGAGACAAAAAGGATTTGGGGCCCTCAGTAGATCAAATTCATATAAGACACTGGTGAATGCTGTTTTCAAAGTGATTGACTGTGGTCATAAAATCCTGGAGTGCTTTAAATAACATGGAGCCGTTTGGATACGTCTGGCAACTGAATTGAAAACGTGCCTCCTGATAATCTTCTTCAAGGTATTGACTGTCATAAAGACTCAAGCAAATTTTCAACTGCATTAGAAATCAGAGTCCTTTTATTTGGAGTCAGAGAGTAACTCATTCCGGAACATTTTCCCTCATGTCTTCCAAGTAGCAAGTTGCCGTCCACACTTGTAGTGGAATTATCCGCACACCACACTGGGAGATTTATACACCAGCACTATGCAATGTCAACTGCTGCAGCCGAGTCCATTTCTTATTTCAGGCTTACATGATAGGACTCTTTAAAGCCTACTTCAAAGATTCAGCAAGGCCATATAATGAAATTTTAGCAAGTTGCTTTGGGAACTACTCTTCCAGTTACAGCCCTACTGCCAATTATTATTTCAAAGGCCTTATTCATCTCAAAACTATAGTTCCTTTCTTTCTTGGGAGAGCAAAGCCTGCTCTTACGGTTTCCCAAACTCTCCTGGCTGAGGAATGACAGATGATATACATTGTTTCAGAGGCAAGAGTGGGGAGTGATAACGAGTCAAAGAAGAACTCCGTTCTCTGATGACAGTGAGATAAAATAAAATAGAGTTGACCCTTGAACAACATGGGGGCGAGAGGCACTGACCCCTGGGGGCAGTTGAAAATCCGAATAGAACTTTTGACTTCCCAAAAGCTTAACTCCTGTAGTAGCCCACTGTTGACCGGAGGCCTTATCAATAACATGGACGGTTTATTAACACATATTCTGGATATGTATTATACACTGTATTTTTATAATAAAGTCAGCTAGAGAAAAGAAAATGTTATTAAGAAAATCATAAGGACAAGAAAATACAGTTACCGTATTAGACTGTATTGAAAAAAAAATCCACATGTAAGTGGAGCCACACAGTTCATACTCATGTTGTTCCAGTGTCAACTGTGTTTACATGAACTGAATGCTTACATGTGTTAACTCACTGAATCCTCCCAGTCATCTTATGAGTCATCTACTATTATTTATGAAATTTTATAGATGATAACACGGACCCAGGGGGACATCAAGTCATTTTTTGTCCAATGTTACCAGCCATTACTTTCCTTCCAGGCAAAGACTTGGTGGCAAACTTGCAGGATGACGATGAAGTGAAAAAGAAGAGAAGACAAATTCTGATTTGTCAAGGCCCTTCCGGTTGGCACAGGCCCAGTGAGGACGCGCTGCCTGTGGGAGGACATGCCCCACCCCCACCGCAACTGAAATGATGTGCCTGAGTTTAAAAAAACAAAATCATACAAAGTGCCAAGGTACATTTCCAAGTAGATCTGCATATTTCTTTGTTCTTTCATCGACATAGCTTAACAGCCTTTTTAATGTTGACCTAATCAGATAAGATAAAATCACCCTTCCTTGGAACTTCTAAGAATTTTCTACATAAAATCCACAAGGATAAAGCCATGGGGGGAGGAGGCATAACAAGGCCTCGGATGCTGCTGAGCGAGACCATTCATTTCTGTTTTCCTGCTGTAGGAAACATCTGGATTTGCCAGTTTTATATCCTCAAGCTCAAATTCTTTATTAGGATTTGCATAGCTCCTACTGAAGAATCTGGACTAATGTAATTAAGTCACACTGCAGAAGCTTAGAAGGATACAGGAAAGGAGGCGGTGGACAATTAAAATCACTCAGCCATTGAGAAGCATGGGTCCCCCCTGCCCCCAGCCCCCATTCACAAGGCTTAAACTACAGCCGTAAGCATTCTCTGCGAAAGCTCTAATACCGAAACCACTCAAGAAATGCACTTTCTCTGCACAGTTTTTATACCAGCTTACCTCTCTTATCATCAGGGTTCCTTCTCTTGAAATACTGCTGCTGAAAGTGTCCGTGTGAGAGGTCTCCAGCCCGTGCGTGCCGACCATTCCCACATTGTACTGCTCGGTGCTCCCAGGGGCTCCTGTGGGTCTGAGATGGGAAGGAAGGATATTAACAGCGATGTATGTTTAGGGAATGCCCGTCTCTCAGTGTCCTGAACAGGTGTCCCACACCCGCAGCATCCCCTCCCCACCTGCTCTCCTCCATACAGCAGCCCTAGCGAGCAAGCTTCAGACTCTCCAGGAACAAAACTGCCCGCCAGGCTCCGCAGGGTTTCCAAGCCCTCCCTACTCCTTCTTCCACAAGCAGGCACCCTGACCTGCACTTTGCACGTGCTGTTCCCTCTGCCTGGAAAACTGGCTCTTGGCCAGTTGCCTCTCATCTTAATGATACTTAAGTATTTGTATTTCATCTTAAATGATAACTTCCCTTGAGAAGGCGTCTCTCAGCACCTAGGTCTTATCCCACCAACCCTTCTTCTTTCTCTTCACCCTTTGTCCTATTCATTCTCATCACAATTTGTGGTTCTTTATCTTTTTGAGTCTCTCGTAACTTTTGCCTTCAGTCTCATTAGAACATATGCTTGTGAGGGCAGTCTTGTCTCTGCTCATCATTGTATACCCAGCGTAGAGCTGGGCACAGAGTGGGAAGAAGTGCCACGCACAGTCATTTGATAAATGGGTTTTACATTATTTACAGAGAAGAAATATCAATTAAGGGCATTCTGGCTTACTAGGACATCCATCAGCTAGGCTATTTACCAATATACAGTATGTTTTAAAACCTCTTGTAATGACTCCACACCGTGGTATATTTATTTTTCAGTTTGTTTCTTATTCTTGTGTTTAAGATGTAATGGAGAAGGTAAAAGGACCTTGACATATACCCTGAGAGTAGAGGCTGATGTGAGAGCATGTGTCCTGGGGCACAGACCATAGCATCAAGGAAAACTGAGAACCAGGTAGGTGACGTGGTTCATCCACAGGATTTCAGTTTCCAATGTGGTCCTCACTGACACCTTGTATTTATTTCATTTTATTTTTTTTAAAGATTTTATTTATTTATTTGAGAGAGAGAAGGAGAGGGAGAGCGTGTGCATGAGCAGGGGGAGGGGCAGAAGGAGAAGCAGACTCCTGGCTGAGCAGAGAAGCCTGATGAGGCTTCCCTCCAGGGACCCTCAATCCCAGGACCCCAGGATCATGACCTGAGTCAAAGGCCGACGCTTAACCGACTGAGCCACCCAGGCGCCCGCAGCTGCCTCTCTTTTAAAGTGGGTTTATTAAAAATAAAAATAAAAATAAAAATAAAAAATGTGGGTATGTTAATTGTATCTTTTACCATTTTGTTCTCTTAATTGTTTCTTATGTATTCAAAAAAAACTTTCTGGTCTCTTGGATCCTATCAAGTCCAAACATTTGATGAAATATTCAATTCAAGAAAGAAGAAACATGCCAGATTTCTGACATCTCTGGGACAGAGAAGACATATGTTAAGGATCCAAACAAAGAGGTGAGAAGATGAGAAGGTGAGTCCAGACCAAAAAAATGCATAGCAAGATGCTTACTTCAAAACTACTAAACTGGAGCAGTGGAATGAATCTAAATATCAGTTAGAACCGATGTGTTTGGGAAGAAATTCCAAAGAAGCAATTTCAGTATTGCATTCCCAGAAAGGAGACATTAATAGTGCCCCAGAGACATGGAAAAAGAAATCGCTGCAATGAATGCCTGACATATTGCTAGATTGGCCAATCAGAATAGTTGTCACAACTAGGATATCTTCACTCATTTATTTTAAAGTTTATCTTACCTTGTATGTATTTTTTTTTTAAGCCACCTTCAATTCTTGTTTGGGACAAGATGGTGTGATACAAATTAAGTCAATAAATGAAGCATTTATAAAGAGCCAAAGCCTTCTAGGAAGGGGGTCGCTTCCCTTGTTCACACAGACATTCTTGGCCACTGTCAGAAGCACCACCAGGCTGAGAAGTGTACAACTCAGTTCCCTTTCATCAATAGAGAGCTTCACGGGAGTTCAAAGGTCAAAGATATTTTGACCCCACTTATTTTTTTTTACCCTGATGATGTTTGATTCTATCCATTTTAATCAGAAATATGCCTATATGAGTGAAATTTTCATTAAAAAAGGTATTTTCTAGAGCTAATTCCATTAGGACAACTCCTTGATCAATTTTCCATATGCCTCAGTTAAACTCTTTGTCAATTTATTTACTTTCATTATTATGTTACTAAAATTATCATCATAGGATCCAATTCTTTTCTATGTAGATTTTATAACAAAGATTTAGTAAACCAATCAAAATTTTTATCCATATCATCTTTCAAAGGCTTCTGTGTCACTATTTCTACCGAGTACAATTTGTCTGGATCAGTTCTAAAGGTGTCAATTTTATTTCATTTTTTATTTTTTTGAAGATTTTATTTATTTATTTGACAGAGAGAGCAGGAACACAAGCAGGGAGAGTGGGAGAGGGAGAAGCAGGCTTGCCGCTGAGCAGGGGGCCTGATGCGGGGTTGGATCTCAGGACCCTGGAATCATGACCTGAGCTGAAGGCAGGTGCTTCACCGACTGAGCCACCCAGGTGCCCCTAAAGGTGTCAACTTTATTAAGAAGATTTGATTCACCTGTCCATTTTTAGTCACTAGCAAGTTTTACAGGGCATAGTGTTAGCCACTATTAGTTTGATCTCTTGCTGAATATTTTTACTGAGATTATTTTTTTCCTGGGTCCATTTTTATACTTAAAATTTTATGAGTCAGAATTGCTCCATCTATGATAAATTTTTATGGTGAAGAGTTCAGGCTGTTTTGGTTTTTAAAAATATCATTTCTACTAGTAATATTCCTTATAGATTGAATAAAAGATAATAATCTCTATTTCTTCCTTGGTCAAATTTATCTAGAATGGTGAGCAATTTCTTTTAGTTTAAGGTTTTCCTGGTATATAGGATTGGTCTATTTTATTAAGAACCTTTTATACATATTTGCTCATTCTGTGTACCTTGTATTAATTAACCATATCATTAATTTTTCTGTTACCAATAATAGCTTTTGACTATGGAAAATTCCTACAGACTTCTGTATGTTCCAAATCACCTCTCTATAGAATTCTTTTTTTTTAATTTTTAAGAAGTTTATTTATTTACTTAAGTAATCTCTACACCCAATGTGGGGCTCAAACTCACAACCCTGAGATCAAGAGTCGCATGTTCTTCCAACTGAGCCAGCCAAGTGCTCTCAGAATTCTTTTTAAAAGGCATGGTACCTTCCTTCAAATACTAAGGTTCACTGTTCAAACTGTTGCTCCCTGTACTTGACTTCTAGCATCTCAAGGACGCTCCTTAAGTCATTTCTTAGCTCTCAAGTTCAATGACTGCTCTTTGATAGTTTGGGTATTTGGCCTCTTGTCTGTCTACTACTACTGATCCTTTGGCCTCTTGTCTGTCTACTATTACTGATCCTTCCACTCCATCCTTTTCTATTCCCCTGACCATGTCACTCTTCTGCTTTCAACCTTCAGGAGCTCCCAATTAACCAGAGGATAAACCTGTGCTTACAAGCCTTCTTTTATCTTGTCCTTCCCTATTTCTCTAGCTTATGTTTTCAACAAAACCTACCTTCCATTTTTAACTCGAACAACATGTGACTTCTAGTAGTTTCCTACACACATCATGTTACCAAAACCGTTGGGCAACTTTAGTCTATCTTCTCGTCCTGAATGGTTCTTTCACACTCTCTGCCTCCCTCTGGTAACTTCTCCTTTAAACTGCAGTCCAGGCACTGCTAAACCCCATCCCAGCCCCACTGGGATGATATAGGTGGCTCTCCACTCTGCTTCCACATTAGCCTCTGCACACCTCTAACTATGCACTCCATACACAGTCCTGCAATGGTCAGATCCCAGTACTGTTGGCATCTTCAGTGCCAACCACTGTCACAGGCAGGTGACATCCAATAAATGTTTCATAAGTCAACAAAGGCTTTGTTCAATAATTCTAGCAAACATTTCATTCAAGTTTATTGTCAAAAGATAGCTCTTTTATGAATTGATGAGCAATCAGCTAAGAGAATAATTATTACCATGTTTAAAGTGTCCTGAATAACTAATGTTTTGTCCTTTTAAAATTTAAAAAGTAATTTCAGCATTGGATCACTTTTATATATGGGTTATGCCAAAATAATTTTCTTGTAATTGTTATTACAGGATCACCAAAAATTGGTTCAGGTATGTCACTGAACTTCATAGCATGGAGAGTGAACTTTGATATATGCAAATAAAAATAAATCATTTAGGAGGTTGGTGGATCCCTGGAAAGAAGGCAGCCTGTGAAAAGAGAATCTAACTGCATTACAAATGTATTTAAAAAATCTCACTGAGTGGGGGATGGGGGAAAGTTTGACCTTTGTAACTCTGGAAATAAACGGAGTCCCGTAAGACTAAAGGTAAAAGGAACTGCCTGTAAGCACTGCACTCTAACTGCTAAAGTTGTTTCCCATAGGCATATAGGTTAAGCATTCTGATACTGCTATCCATGTGTACCAGAAGTGAACACTAAGCAAATGTTGGCAGGTAAGGAAGGGGAGGGGGCTAGAATGATCCATGTGTTGATGAATCAGAGTTGGAGATATCAGGATAAACTTTTATTTAACATAATACAGATGGCTATAGGTAGAAACATTTATAGATATGGGTACATAATGGGTTAGTATACACATACATATTTCCTTGCTCTGTCAGCTGAGAGTGCCTAAAAGAAATGATACACCAGTAGCAACGAGCACACCTAGTGCCCAAATCTTGGTTCTGATATCATTCTTTAATAAAAGGAATCAAGGCTCCCAGGAGAAATGGCTGATTCCAGGACTAGAGCAAGAAATACACAAGATAAGCCTGGAGCGCCTTATAGTGTCAGAAAGTAAAGAAGTGCTTGACTGGGGTATGTCAGCCACAGGGGGTATAGGAGCCAACTGAAAGAGCTTCCCGTGGTTGAAGGTGGAATAATTTCAGCAGCAAAATGAAGTATCGGATCATAACCCATAGTACAAAATAAATGTCCATGAGTCTATATTGATATAAATATGAATAAATTAATAACAGAGAGGAGATAAATCTCTGCAGAATAATTTCAAATAAATTATGTAGAGACTTCATCCTAAAGGAATGTAACTCCTCACTCCTTAAGTGCAGGTTGTGCACAGTCTTCCTTCCAAAGAGTACAGTGTGGAAGGGGAGGAAAATTACACTACAGTAGAGACACCTGACAAGCATTACCTCAGCCAGAGGATGAAGGTCAATGCCAATAGTCCTAAGTCACATTTATAGTACATACCCTTGATATGAAGTGATAAAAACGATGTGACCTCTGTGATCTTTCTCCTCCAAATCCATAACCTTAGTCTAATCACGACAAGAACATCAGATAAATTCCAGTAGGGTGGAATTCTATGATATTCCTAATTAGTACTCCTCAAAACTTCCAAGTTCATTAAAAACAAAGGAAGTCTGAGAACCTGTCACAGCCAACAGGAGTCTAAATAGATATGGTAACTAAATAATTACATATAACATGGTATCCTGGATGGGATCCTGATACAGAAAAAAGGATTTTAGGTAAAAACTAAGGAAATCTGAATGAACCATTAAAGTATATCAATTTTGGTTTATTAATTATAACATATGTACATACTAATGTACGGTGCTTATAATAGGGATAATTGTGCAGGGGGTAGGAGGAGTAACAGGGGAACTTTGTACTATCTGCTCAATTCTTTTATGAATTTAAAACTGTTCTAAAAAATAAAGTTTATTAATAATAAAAGAATGAAAAAAGGCAATAATTAAAAAAAACACTCAGGCCAAAACAACGAAAACATTTTATAGTTAAAGTAATCCTTTGTTCTAAAAATTATTTCCAAGATAGAGTCTGGGTGAGAACAAGTCCAAATTCCTGTAAAGATTATAACAAAACAAAACAAAACATGCCCACTGATTAGAAGGAAAACTATAGGAAATTTACTGTGATTAGGTCACAGGTTTAAAACAGTAATTTCCTCTAATAGGATTTGTCAAAGTGTTCCTGTAGGTACTGATTTAATTCAATTCAATACACACTTATTGAACACCTGCTATATCAATGGTCCTGGGTTTGGCATTGGGTAGTGGATATAAAAGCTGAGGAAGAGGGGCCTGGGTGGCTCAGTCGGTTAAGCGTCTGACTTGATTTCAGCTCAGGTCATGATCCCAGGGCTGTGAGATGGAGCCTCACATCAGGCTCTGTGCTGGGCATGGAGCCTGCTTAAGATTCTCTCATTCTCTCTCTCCCTTTCCTTCTGCCCCTCCCTGCCATGCATTCTCTCTCTCTTTAAAAAAAAAAAAAGCTGAGGAAGTCATGGCTCCTGAAACTAAAGAGGTTAGCATCCGGAAGACCATACAAACATGACATGAATACTCAAATACAAGGCTGGATGTAAGTGGGAATGCAAAACAGAGCGAGAGGTCATTGCAAGAAAAGGCACAACACTAGACAAGTACAGGCATTTATTTGCAAGAACTGATGGGTCAGTTTGGCTGGAGCATATGTTGAGGCAATCGTGAGCCCCAGGGATGAAGAGGGTCGTAGGACATTAGGATACAGCACGACCAGAGCCATGATTCTACAACATTAGTAAGACCAGACTGGAAAAATGGACAGGAGGGCAGAGAGGACCACAAGCAAGGGAGGGGAGCACCACAACAGCCTGGGAGGGCAACGGGCTCAGAACCATGGCTTTCCAGTGATGACGGCATTTTATAAGACTGTATGCAACTCAAGGGCTATGCTAGCAGGAGATGGTCCTCATGGTTAAGACTGGGCCTCACATGTCCTGTTCTGAAGCAGGCACAGGCACTTGAGGGAAGGTGCTGATACAAGAGGATGCTTCTTCAGCTTGCTTGATCTGATGCAAATCAACTTAGGCACTTTTCCTTCCCTTCCTCCTGTTCTAGAAAGCTTTTGTTTTTTTCCTGATTATAAAAATAGTAAATGCTCATCATGAAATTGGGGATCTACATAAAATAAAAACCACTTAGAGTTGTATAATCCAGAGGTAATCACTTTTATAATTTTAGTCTATTTCCCTCCACCCATTATTTTTCTATGCATGAGGCATTGGGAAAGAGTGCAGTTGGTTAGGGAAATAATCTTAGTTATGCACACTCTTATAGGTTCTACCTTATACTATAAATATGAAACCAGCACTGTCCATAAAAAAGTTGTTGTTTTGAGCATTAGTATCTACAGCTGTTTGTCTGAATGGCTGGGCTCCATATCTGAGAAGCTCTTTTTGTATACATTTCATGGCGGTGAACTGTGTTGATATATATGTAGCACAGAATGTAAAGGGTTACACTTGTATCCTGCCTTGTCTCTGAGTAGATCTCCTATACAATTAAATATTTTAAATGTTCTTTAGTGGATGATCATTTTAATCTGCCTAAAACTTACCAATTCTTCAAGAGCCATGTCAATTTTTCCCTCCATTATATGCATTCAATGATAGCCCATTCATTATTTCTGGATGATAGTAATAGATCCTCTGAGTTGCTTTACCAGGGTCGAGTCTGTTCTTTTTACAGATCATCTTGCCAAAATAATTTCTCTCAAACATGGCACCGATCATATCACTTCCCAGCTCAGGGGGCCTTCCATGGTTCCCAATGGCCACGTGATAAAGCACACACTTCTTGGTCTGGTTTCACTGGTCCAGACCATCCCTCTCCCCGCCCCCATACACCCGACATTCCTATCAAAGTCAACCTTCTGTGCCTTTACTTCAATTTCCCCTTGCCTCAGATTCTAATATTGCCCCACGTTCCCTCTATCTTGATGACAGTTATTTGTGAATGTGTCTTTCTTCTGGTTTGGGCTATAAACCCTAGGAAGCCAGGACTTGCAATTTCAGTTCAGTGCAATTAAATATAAATCAAAGTCCCTGAAGACCAACTCTATTCCAGACACAATGCAAGGTGTTAAGAGTACAGAGATGAATGAGACACAGTCCTCACCCTCAGGGATCTCAGAGCCCAGAGAGGGAAACAACATATAATAAATATCCTGATTCGAGCACTACATGAAGCTGCAAGAATATGCTCAATATCCAGGGGCCACACAGTGGAAGGTACAGGCTCTCTCTGTGCAGGCTGGGCTGTAAGCAGGTGATTTCTAAAGGGACAGGAGAGTGCCAGACAGCAGAGAGGAAGTGCAGCATGGCTTATTCCAGCACATTTTGGAAAGGTGGGTATTTCTGTAGTGAGGGAAGAAATGGATGTGCCCTTGGCAGGAGCAGGGTCAACACTGTCAACAGCCTTGCAAAATATGACAGGGCTTCAAAACCAAATGTGATTGAACATCTCTTCCAAGGCTGTCTTTGGTCACTCTTCCAAATATTTATATTAGTCTGAAGTTTCTGCATACAGTCTTGTTTCTCTCCAACTAGAATATATACTTTTAGAAGGCAGAATGCTTGTGTGTGCCCTTGCTGATTGTCTCAAAGCCCTCGGTATGGTGTGGAGCACAGAGTGGAAGTTTTAGCAATATTTTAAATTCATAATCCACCCCTCATCCTGGTAGTTGTAGGCTCAGTGCTTAAAGGAAATTTGAAACATCTGTTAGAAAAATTAACCAAAGCTGAGTCAAGATAAAAACTGAAAGGACCAGCATATTTTGCAGAAATGTTTTGGATTAGTGATTTTGCCTCTAGAACAATTTTATTTGCTGTTAAAAAAGCAATTTAATGCAATTTGTTTCAAATGTCATATTTTAGCATATTTATGGTTGTCAATAACTGTGTAATCAACAGCAGAACAACAAGTATAAATTTTCAGCTATGATAATTGGATTTGCCTCTCAGAATTGCTTGTATATAATGACTGTTAATCAATGGAGTACATTCTCTGCAGACTGGCCAGCCCTCTCTCTCCAATCTTTGCTGGACAGGACAGTAATCTATGACCCTAAATGGCATCTTCTCTATAGGGAGTAAGTGTAGTGTGATGACCAATATTAGTAGCTGAGCCAAAGAAATGGAGGTGAATAAAGAGCAAAGTTGGAATCATCAGTGTCCCACTCTGTCAAACTTATAGCAAACCAGAGCAACAGCATCTTGTGTTTATCTGGGGGAAGAAGCAAGAAATGGATGTGAGTGTGATTGTCCAGATCTGTTTGTTTAAACTGGAGAAGCAATAGGGCAGGGGAATTCTGTCATAGGACCCTGTCCAATGAGAAAAAGAAAAAGTGAGCCTCCCCCTCACAAAACAAAGAAAAGAAGTAAAGGCTATAATACAAGTAAATAATAAGGGAAGTGCAGGTAAGCATAAATACAGGTATAAATAGCCAAAAGGAGACTGCAAAGAAACGGACAGAACGTAGGGGGGTGTGTAGGGGGGCAAGTCACAGGCCACAGAGAAAAGGATCACATAAGACAGACAGTGAAGAAGAAGAAAATGATAACAGGGATATATTTAAGTCAAACACTCAGAAGGTTCTCCACAGGATGATTTGACTCCAGCATCTTTCCCTGGGATGCTAACCCGCACTGTCATGTGCATTTCTCCTTAGGTATGGTGGTGGTGCGGGGGGGGAATGGTGGAATATGTCTCCTGTTGTCAATTTTAACTCCTAAATGTCATTGTCCATAATTCCACTCTTGCAATTCTAGGGGGACAGGCAAGTGCCAACAGTCTGGTTGTCAATATCATTTTCCCTGGAGAGGACAAGAACCACGAAAGTGTCCCCAAAGGGAGAGTCAATCCCACAAGAGTACCTGGATAAAGCCTAGGCAGTAGGAACACTGCTATGTATTTCAAGTGATGGTGTCTGTGGAGAGAGCTAACTACAGGACTACGCTCTAATAAAAAACTCAAATCCCCAAAGCCAGTTGATCCTGCCAGAGACCCATAAACGATCCTCTATTTAATTCACATTTCCTGTCCTTTCACTTTGGAAGCCTCGCCCGCGCCAGCCGACATGTGAAAAGCAGCCCTCTTACATGAGTCTGGGTATGTCACTGACGGCCACCGTCCCGTCGTGGGTCTCGCTCTCTCCATCTTCCTCCTCTTCATCACTACTTTCGGACTCCTCACTGGAGGAGGAGTAATCAGTCACCTTCTTCAGCGGGCGGTTTGTTTCTTCGATCCGGAGTTCTCGTAATTCTTTGGCTAATGCCGTCAGGTCCTACAAAAGAAGAGTTCGTTCGGTATGTATGAGTCGTAGAGACGACCAAAGTCACATCTCTCAGCAAGTCAGTGTTCCAGCTTAAGCAACAAGAAAAGAAAGCTCTAGATAGAACTGTTACAAACATAGTGGCGGCATGGAGTGAAGAAAACGATGTTTGTAGCACAGAGAAACTAGGAAAGAAAGATGGAATAAATTTAAACTTTGTTCAAAACCAATGGCTAGACTGAGACGGTTCAGTTCTGAATATACATGTGTATATATGTGTGTGTGCATTGTGTGTCTACACATATATACAAACGCTGGGTTCTCATTTTATTTTGGGAAGGTGAAGTGGGTCACCCTCAGAGTGAAGGGGAAAACACATGGGCTGAGCGACTGTTCCCCAGGATTCTGGGACTCCTGCCCAAACCACGGTCATGGCCTTTCCCCTCTTTGATTGCTGCTGTACCAAAATCTAGCATCAGTCACAGAACAGAGCAATTCTCACAGTTCCAGCTACTACAATGACTCATTTGGTGTGTCATCATTCCCTGGAGAGCAGAGGCACCACATCAAATAATGGCCCACCCCAAAGCCCAGTGCCGCTGAAACTTATAGCCCCAGAGCTGAGTTAATCAAGACGAACGACAACCAAAAAAAAAAAAAAAAAATTTCTTCCAGAACGATAGGTGTTTCATTTTCCTTTGTTTAAAACTACAGTCACCTGGCAGAAACCCTCATGAGGAATACTGAAATGAATGCACAAACACCACAAAGGAAGAGATCATTTTTCAGGTTTCCATGAGTATGATGCAGTCTTCAGCCTTATGGATATGATGATGTGGTATCTAATCACGAGGCACATTGCAGGCAGTGTGCTGGATCTCTGACTACCTTTGACTTCACATGCTTTCAGAGCAATGCAGAGGGCAGCAGTCCTGCAGAAGCATGGCCGCTCTAATTTGCATGGGTTACACTGCCCATGGCACATGGCATGCAATGAGGAAAAAGCAATTGGACATCAGTCTTACCATTTCTCCCTATATTAGTGACCCATGTGGGAATCAGAGCGTTCAGTGAGAGACAGGGCATTAGGGAGAAAGAAACTCATTGAAAGATACTAAATCCCACAGTTTTCTTATGGCCATATTCTCTCTTTATTTCAATTCAGAAATGTATTTATTTGTCCAATTCACCTGAGGTCAGATTAGAGCAATGTAGGTGATCTAAATGGAATCTCCTAATCTAGCCTACTTGGTTAGAAGAAACACCGTGAGGAGTGGGTATAGTTAAATTATAAATGTAATTTTGTTTGGGGGAGATCACAAATCATCATATTTCTTTACCATCCCCTCTATGTCAAGCATTACTATATTGGTTAAGACTAGGAGAGGAAACATTTCAGGTGTTTCATTTGGTCCAGAAACTTAGGAAGTTCAAGGTGGTAAGTGAAGGAGTCATTTCTTCTAATTTCATAATAAAATCAAAGGAAAGCAATCATGGCTTTTAAATTTGTTCTGAAGTCACTTGAACTGAAGCACTTGAAAAGGGAAGCTTTTGAAAATTCAAGTTGTGCATTTTCCACCCAACATGCTTGCTGGGCTTTTTACACACATGCACACACGCATGGCCTCAATCTCAGTGGGTATATTAACCCCATCTGTGAAAATGAAAATAGAATTTTATTAAAAAGACTCAAAGGTGTTTAAATATAATGTATACTGTTAAAGAAGAAAATTACCACATAGATAGAATTTTATGCACATTTATTTGTTTCTTTGGCAATAGGCCAAAACAGGAAGAGCCAATATTCAGATTTCAGCTTTATACTCCTTATTTCCTCTGGACATTGCCAATGTTCATCTTTATCAAACTGAGAAGATAGTGAAGGTATGCAATACTTGAGCACAGTGGGAAATATAGTTTAGATATTTGTTAAAGCTATGAATAGAAAAGGATATTATAATCATCCAAACCAGTAAAATAATAACAGATAAATTTATTTTGTATTTTGTCTTCTATATGTTAGGAGCATGTTAAGTCTCACCAAAGAATGTAAAGCAATTAAAATGTTACTTATCATTAAAAAACGCATTTATTATAAAGAGAGAATATGGTTTAAAATAATTTATTTCTAACGTCAATAATCCTGAGTAAAATATAATAATATTAGCTGTGATTTATTTAAATTTATAATACATTTTCCCTATGGGTTCATTTTCCTTATCTCTGACATTTCAAAACAAGATAAACGAGATTTGAAAAAAATCAAAACTCTTTAGCAATATTTAGCCAGTTCAAAGCCCATTGATTTCAAGAAACTCTCATTCGTGAAAATGACCTAATTTTTTCTAAACACTGTATCTAGGAAAAGTTTAAAGTTCTGACCTGTTTTATAATTTCATTTTTAATTAGAATATTTTTTTTGTTTCTACATTATTAGAAAGCTATCTTTCTTGAAACACTGAAAGTAATTGCAAATTCCTTTTAAGTTTACTTGGTAACAGCTTGATGAGACATATATGAGACTCCCAAGGTAACAATAATGAGTAACTCAAAGGTAATACCCCAGTCAAAGAAAATTAATCTCCCATTGCCAATGGTCTACATGCTTAGCTGCGGTTTTGTTCCTTATCCATCCACTCTGGAAGAATTTACAGTAGCAAAGTTATAGAAAATAGACATGATCTAAAACTGACACCACTGGGTTCAGACCCATTTTCATACATTTTATTTTCTGACAATACCAATTTTCTCCATATAATGAGTTTTTGTGGTAATTTATTGCTTGGCTGTCTCAAGCCTGGAGCTAAAAAGTATGAAAAAAGAAAAAAAAGTGCTATTTAGCATGAAAATATTTGAGAAATGTATAGTATAACCGAAAAAGAAATACAGCAAAATGGTAAGATTTTTTGACTATAGAGTAAATGTGAAGATAGGAGGCTCTTACCCAGAAGCTTCTTTGCTATAACACTTTTTAGAATTAATTTGATATTTTGTTTCATTTAAAAAAACTCTTATTTAATCTGACAATTATGTATACTTTACCTAAAAAAGTGCTCTTTTAGGTCTCTTTTTAGAACAATGTAGTTTATGTAGATTTTAGTTCAATTTTTTGAGCTATTAAGGTAACAGTTAAAAATCTTAAGCTGGTCTTTTCTTTATGTATGAAAAGAATTTACTTCCTTTTTAGGAAATCTTAAGAAATGACATTGAGGAAGTTACTTAACTTCAGTATCCTCATCTGAGAAAGAAAGGTTTTAGACTACTAGCTATTGTTCAAGTTCTGTTCAATCTGTGGGTGTGCTCTGGAAATTTTCAGATTCTTACATAGTACAAACAAATAGTGCTAGAGCCAGTGTTTGCTTATGTGTCTAATATTCATGTCATATGTTTAATTGTGCTAAAGAGGATATTTATTTTCAACGATTATGTTAATCACAGACTATATTGCACAATCTTATATTCCATTAGAAAGGACTGCCAAATTAATGGACACTCCCTCAGATCGATGTTCATGAAAAATCAAACCATTAGATTAACAATAACAAGCAACACTTTTTTTCAGAGTTTTAAGGCTTTTCATTTCAATCCTGGGTTATCTAAATGGCCAGTCCCTATAGAAGGAAGCCATATCAAAACCTAGGAATGAAGATGGGAGACAGGTTTATTTAATTCAAGGCTTCTCAACTGTGGCACTACTGACATTTGGGGCTAGATCATTCTCTACTATGGGTTGCTCTCCTGTGCTTGGGAGAATGTCTGGCAGAATCTCTCTGCTCTACCCACAAGACACCAGTAGGCACTGCCTCCCACCTCCAAGTTGTGACAACCAAAACTGCCCCCAGACTTTGCCAAATATCTCCTAGGAGGGGTGGGGAGAGGAGAGAAAAGGAGAAGAGGAATCGTCCCTGGTTGAGAACTACTGAGTTAGGTAGAACCAAGTAATCCTGTATTTTTAGTGGTTTAGATCAGTGACATTTAAGGGTAGGTAGGGTTATCAGAATCACCTGGAGGGTTTTTTCCAACCACACATGGTTCCAGAGATTTCAGTGTATAGCTAATATCCCCTCAATTACTTATACTTCTGTTGCCCCCCGTCATCTCTGTCCAGTGTATGAGAGTAAAGCAAAACAAATAAAGCAACTTTTTAAAGCCTAAAATATCCTGGGTTAACCAGATGACATCCATTTCCCTCATGACTGCCACCTTCAAGCTAATTTCTGCGCTTATGAGATTTCCCTTGAGTTGCGCACACACACAACCATTTTATTGGCAGCCATGGCACCAGAATATCGTTCTCCTTCTTCAACGGTTTGGGAGAAAATTGATACACGTTGTGATAGTTGCTGTCCTTGTGACTATTATGAGGGAAAGGGCCAGGCTTCGGCACAGAGCAATGAAGAACCGCCTCCGTTTCCTTTCTATAAATGCCGTCCACACACTGTCGACATGTAGAGTCACATTTTTTTTTTTATAAGCAGCAATCCTTTACCTAAGAAATAACGTTCTAAATCACTGTGAATGGTAAGGTGTCCTAATTCTGAAAAACTGAGGCTCTTTGGTAAAGATCAGAGGCATAGAAACTTGCTTCTTCCACCTGCCAAAATGGCTCCATGTCTCAGGCCCAAAGCTTAGCATGAGGACAACCTCTTGGCTTAACACTTCATAAAATGCTCTCGCACACATGATTTTGAGTGATCCTAATCAAGCTTGTGATCGAGGCAGAGCAGGTGTCTTTATCCCCATTGCACACATGAAGAAACTGGCCCAGAGAGGTTATGAGACTGGTCCTGGCCAGTTACTTATGGGGAGGCGGGGCTAGAATTTGAATTTGTTGACTCCAAAGCCAGTGCTTTTTCCATATCATTTCACAAAAATGGTGCTCAGCAGAGCTATAGCTGTAAAGCCTTCAGATTCCATGCAGTTAGGATTCTTGGCAAGGCCTGTCTCTTAAAAACAACAACAACAACAACAACACAAATCTACTATGCTGTGTTCATGCAGGTCTGACAAACAGCAGAAGGCAGTCATCCTTCTTAGCAAGCTACCTAAGATTGACAAAGCCATATATTTTTCTAATGGAAAAATGTCTCCACAGATAAGGAAATAAAGTCACTTAACTCGTCAGGATTCATTAACTAAAGTTGATGTTGCTGCTGATGCTGTAGTTAATGTCCCACAGAATTAATCTAACCCAGTAACTCCTTGTTCACAAATCACACACTATAAATTTGGAGTGTTTTAGAATGATGTCTCTCTTCTTTGTTAGTAAAACTGCCATCCCCTTCGCAAAGCTGGTGAGTACAGGTTAAGAGCTAGGCTTTGCTATTGGAAGATGCTGGGATGAAAAACTTCCCAATAATAAAGCACTAATGCTTATCTTTAGCCAGACTGGAACATTAGAAAAGTGACATTTTTTTTGGCTTAAAAGGAAGGTCTCCGGAGCTTCCCATGAGTGTCTGAGGGCCTCAGGCCGGCTGTGGTTGAAGGGGCTTGCCTTGCAGCAGACCCTTCCAGAGGACTGAACTTTAAATCTGTCATCCAACAGGCTGCCTCTTTGAATGTCAACATCAGGAAATCAGCTTTATATTGACATCTTGTGACAGCATGACCAAGAAAAGGTGATACTAACCTCATCTATCGCTTTCTTATAGCTCTGAGATAGGAGGAACCCAATCCAGAAGAATCCACAGGAGGGGGAAAAGCCAGAAGAAAGGCAGCAGGTTAGACACAAAATGGGAATTGTTAGTACACAACTGATAATTGCAAAAGAGCAGAGAGAACCTTAACTCTGAATGGGGCGAATCCCCTTCAGGACTGCTCTCACTCTGCTTCCTAACTTTAATACATATGAACCAGAGTAAACCAAAAAGTCCTCACATTTATTTCATAGAAAAGGTTCTCTGCAATTTTAAAGAAAGTAAGTGGATATTCACTCATCCCAAATTAATTTCCAACTTTCAAATGTCAGCCTCTATGCTCTTATTTCTTTCGCTAAAGCTATTTGGGGTCTGTCATGTCTCAGCAAAGAAGCTAGATTTCAAGTTGTCAGGCCCCTTGTCAAATCATGCTTATCACATTTTGGTCCAGAAAAATATAGTCCTGACGTCATGAATAACAGCAAAAATTACATTAATTCATACGGCAAATGATCTGGGGAGAGGGCGGAGCAGACAACAGAAACCCACAGAAAGTGCCCACATTTCCTTAACTGCAGCTCCACACCTTTTTGCCAAAGCTGCTGAGTAGAAATTACGTAATGATAGGAGTTATTTCTCCCCCTTTTTTATTCTCTAAAGTAGCGTAATGCAAAATGCCTAGAGGCAGATAAGCAATCCAAGATCTGTTCAGTTCTTTCCTAATCAGGTATGACTTCCTTCTGGATGCTTCTAGCATCCATTCTTAATCTCAGCAAGTTCTGTTTCATAGTCATGAGTGTATCCCCAACTACTTGATCCTGTGGCTTCTCTGGTAACTTAAGAGAGTTCAAAAGCACTCACAGCTGGTCGACTAGGTCGGGTAATGTCCCTGGATTCTTCTGGCTTCACTTTGGAAGGCTCGTGGGGGAGCACAGGCGATCCTTCCGACTTACTGTTGGCTAGATAGAAAAACAAGGGCCAAGAAAAATAATGACCATCATAAAGTGTTGACTCAAGTTTTGCAGTTCAGTGGAGAGTCATCCTTCAGGATTACTTAGGGGATACGACATTCACTTAGGCAAATCCTCAAACACATCTGTGAAAAAACTGTTCATGTTCAGGCAAACGCATTTAGGCTTGTGACCTGGAAGTCACTATTAATCATAAGAAAAACTAGCAAGCACCACTACCACCACCATTTACTGACTGCTAAATGTGCATCACATGTAATGCTAAATGCCTTCTACATCAACGGTCTCATTGGATTCTTGCTCCAACCCAATGTGTGGCACTCTTTTCCCATTTTACAGTTCAATATAGACTTTGAGAGATGGCATACTAGCCTAAGGTCATGCAGAAATTATGGGAAGAGCCGGGATTCTGTCTGGCTTATCCAAGTCCTATTCTCAGTTATTACACCAAACCAGCTTCCGTGTTAACATTCTATGCTTGGTTTTTTCTTTTACCACTTATCCATCAGGATATTTTATTTTGATGCCATCGAAACCCATTTTATTTGATGGAATGGTTTTTAAATGGGAGGTGGGGGTTGTCGGGGTCTCTTAAGGAAAAAAGAATGAGGTGGGGACAGGAAGGAGAGTGTTGGTGACAAAGGAGAAGAGCCCTAGGACAGAGGTACAGAGCAAGGATGGAGGAGGGCTCCCCAACAGCTCCACAGTGAAGAGCATCTCTCCGATTTAATTATAGGTAGAGAAAATCAATCTGGCATAGGAGAGATTCTTTTGTTTTAAAGTGGCCTTTCCTGGGCAGAAACACTCCAGGGATACAGCGGTGTTCTTAACCCAGAGGACCTAGGGGCCAAAGGAAAGAAGATAAGAATTAAACCCAAACCAGATCAGAGAATGAAAATGATATGTGTAACCTTAGTTTTCTTTAGTTTGTTATAAGGATATTAAGTTGCTTATGAATAGAAAAAAAGATAAATTAATAGCAGTTTTCTAAATTAAGTAAATTTATATTTGGATTAAAGCAACAAAAGGACACATGGCTATGGGCTGGGCCACCGACGTCTGAAGAACGTATATGGGAGCAGCCACATCCCAGTCCAGAGACATGAGCATCGCATGCCAGGTTTCAACCTTTTCAAAATGGACATACAGTGATTTTACTTATTTAAAACCTTAAGAAGATACTAGATGGCCAACTCTGGTTGTGTCTAATGAAGAGGCTAAGAAAAAAAATAAAGTACTGGTTGTTTTTTCTCAGGCAGAGTAAGTTGTTAATATTTGTCAAATTGCACTTAAAAAAGTTCTGGTCTTTCTTACTTGGAAGCAAAATTATCTTTTGAAGGAGGTTGTTCAGAAAGAATCACTTTTGTAGCAAGAAACAATGTGTTGTCATGTGTAATTAGCTGGACATGCTCTTGTTTTTCACAAGCTTCTTCCTTAATGAGAACTGCACAGTGATGAAAGACTTGAATAAATGGTCAGAGAGGCTCATGTTTTATTCCTCTTGAGTAGGAATAACCCAAAGAGTCAAAAATACTTTTTAAGTCAAAGAGTTTACTTCTTCTCTAAAGTGCATATGTATTCTACATAAGTCTTTACCGAATTCCACTTTGAGAGATCCCTAGTATTATGGACTATATTCAGAATACCAAAAAAGGATGATTGGCATAATGGGAAGACGATACTTGGGGGTACATGAAGCCTGAAACAGGCAACAAATGGAAATGGCAATTCAGGTGACTCGCAAGTGATTATCTTTTAAAATAAGACCAACGATCTAAGATCTTCCTGGAAAACAACGTCACCTGCAATGAGCAAAGATTTAGTGCAAACTCTGATGTTGCACATGAGACTGGGGCTGGTGGTTCTCTCATCTGAGGAGGACCGAGGCTAAGGGCGGTTAGAGGACTATGCAGCATCACATGGTGGTGGCCATGCCAGGCACGGGGGTCACAGAAGCTGGGAAGTGCGATGAGCCCATGCCCACGGCTCTCTGGCCCAGGCGGTGCTGTCAGGGCGAGGCAGGGGGAGAGCTCACCTCGAACTCTGGTCCGTTCACTGGACCCCGCTTGTGAGCCAGGCTGAGAGCCTCCCTGGGAGCTGGGCTGGGAGCTCGGGGTGCTGGAGCTGGAGGAACTACCACTGCTGGTCCTCTGCAAGGGGCTCTCCAAGACGGGCTCAGTTCTCCGGAGGTCGGGGTTGCTGTACGGAAGGCAGAGCACGGTGACCACACGCTCCAGACCACGCCATTCACAGACACAAGCACAGTCCAGTCCCGCCCCGGGTACGAAGGAGAAACCAGAGCCCTTGTGTCACCCTGCACGGAAAGGGTCAACGGGAATGACAGTAATGTTGTCCTCTGTGGAGCTCCCAGCCTGATACTGCTGATGGGATGGACTCCTGACCCAACTCCTGGGTCATCATGCTGAAGTATTAGCTCTGAAATGGTGCTCTTCAAAGGAGGCTTTCTCTTAAACCCTTATTCCCCTGTTCATTGTAAAAAAAAAAAAAAAAAAAAAAACACCTTGAAAAATATTAAAAGAAAAAAAAAGAAAGCAAAACATGCAATCTCTGATCCAAGAGAAATCCAACTATATTTTACTATTTGGTATAGTATCTTCTAGGCTTTTTTCTTTTGTATATATGGAAGCATGCTCTATGTTCAGTTTTGCAGCTTGCTTTTTCCCCTAACACTGCATTGTGAGCAGCTTCTTATGCTTACAAAAACAACAGTGGCTGCTTAGCAGTCAGTCCATGGATGAATTAGTTTAACCGTTCCTCTACGGCTGGATATGAAGGTACTTCCGATACACTGGCCTGACACATAACACTGAAATAAGTATCTCTCCAGGCATACAAACACCCAATCATATATCCTTCCTGGACCTGGAATTCCTGGGTGGAAGGACATGAACTGGGATGTGTGTGTTGCATATGCTTGTATGTGAGTGTGTAATGGTATTACCAGTTTTCGCTGAAGTGTATGAAATGGTCCATCTTACTGAATTCTTAACCATGCTTTATTATGAGCAGTTTTGCTGATTTGAAAAAAAAAAATTATCTTGTTTTAATGCTGTTTTAAAACATTACTATTGAGGGAGAATAATTTTTATTCACTTTTATTTCCCATTTATAATTCTTCTTCTGTGAATTGCTTAATCAAATTCTTTGCTTATGTGGTTAGTGGCATATTTGCACTTTTAAAATTTCTTTCAGGAAGGCTTTATATACTTTGGCTCTTATCAAAGGGAGGTGTGTTTTAAAAGAATTATTATTAAGCGCTAGTTCAAGAACAAATGCTAGTAGTCCCCACTTGTGATAAGACCTTACGGTGTTATTCACTTTCACAGCTTAACTGCCCCCCAAATGGTGGTATTCATTTGCTCACTCAGTTGGTCAGACCAAGCATGGGGTCAGGCATTTGAGAGACGGTGATGAACAAGACACAGTCCTGTCCCCGCCAGCGTAGCCAGGCACGCACAGCCAATTCCATCCCCGCTCTGCCTGCCGGGAGCACGGGACAGTATGGCAGTGCGGAACAGGGCCATCTGGGCCCCTTTTGGTGACCATGGAAGCTGTACTAGGACAGTGGTGGGAAACCATGACTGAGGTTTTGATGATTTTGTTATAAAAATAAGCAGACTCCTCAAAGTTTCCAGAAAGCTCTTCCTTTTTAATTTATAACTCCTAGGCCTTTTCATTTTTCCTTCAGACTTACACAATGCTGGGCCTAAATGGATAATTTAGCGAGGCCTGAAACTCAGAGCTCAAATCTACTGCCAGCCACCTGCCCCACGGACCCCTACGTGTTTCCCATGCCTTTGGTTCTCCAAACAGAACTGCACACCTTTGCTAACAGCGTCACCATAGTGTGATTGGAGACTATGATTTTAATGCAGGAACTCATGTTAAAATGTAATTTTATGTTTTCATCTTGCTCTGCTCATTTCAAGAACATCAAGTGCACTCTGAACTGTGTTGGGTCTCCCGTGTTTCATGTATAAAAATGAAAATAATATGACCTCTTCCCTTGAGACATTTGCATTTTAGTGTACCAAAAATCTGGCCACAGAATAGCCATAATTAGAGCAGCAACCAGACCAAATAATTTCTTTTCAAGAACACAAGAATCTTGCTTTTTGGTGAGGTATCTGCCAAAAACAGTTGATCGAGTTACAAACAATTTTAAACATTGGGTTATTGGAAGACGTGGCTGGTGGCCCTGGAAAACATACGTAAAAATAAATATGTCCCCATAGCTTATTAATTTTGATCGTATAAATGTAAAATTTTTTGACAATATTTATCTTTTAAGTTCTTATGGTGAAGGAGTTGCTAAGTCACTCCAGCAGTGTGATCAACTGCAGCAGAAGTGATTATCAAGCTTAAGGAAAACGTTTAAAATTCTCAATATATTTACAGAACTCCTTTGTGTAGTAATTATTTTTGTGAAAACTGCTAGCATTTAATCAGTTTAAATAGATTTGAATCCATACTGGAAACAGCCCTGATTTGGAGAATACCTAAAATGATTAAATATGTAATACTTGTGCAATATCCTACCTTTCGAATTCTCCTTAAAGAAACAATCTTATCTCCTTTTATTCCCCAATAATAAATTCTTTCCCATGGTCCTCTTTTATTAACAGTGGTGGTCAGCAATTATTTCTATATAATTAATAAAGTCCCAAAATATTTTTTCTAAGAATTCTATTGCTAACCAACTGTATTGCAGATTGAAGGTGAGGGGCATGCTAAGGCTTCTTGGTAGTTGCTTTTGTTTTGTAGAACGGTAATGTAGTGTTCTTTGTATTAAAAAAATAAAAACAGCTATGAAGAGAAAGGTGGCTGTGACCTCTGAGATTTCTTTTCTCTGGTGGCTGTGGTGTGCTAGCGAGATCCAGCTCTTTGCTTGAACAGAGCACTCGTTTGATCGTTTAACCAACACCTTTCTCTGAAACACCTACTTTGTGAGCCTCATTGGACCAGCATGAGGGAGGGAGGCGAGCACAGGTCACAGGTGCAAGGTGCGAGATAATTCTGGGGATGGGAAACGTGCAGTGGAGATCACAGTGGATAAGGCAAATCTCTGTATGCTGTGTGTGAAAGAACCTGTAGGTATTGTTGGCATTTGGGGAACAATGAACGTGGCCCGGCGTGGTCGAAGTGGTGTCAAGATGGAGACAGGACGTGACTGTGCCTTGGAGGGGGGGAGCAGGAAGTCTGGCGGAAGCACCTGAGCAAGGACACAGGGGCTGGGGTTTTCCCCGGGGCTCGCTGGTGTAGGGAGGACACCACCCTGATGGAGTACCATGTCTGTGTCAGGTTTCCCTAGAAGAGAGGCTCATCAGAAGGGATGGCTTAGGCCGCAGTGCCTGTAAGACCCAGAAGAGCACACAGACCTCCCAGGGCAGGCTTACGGATGACCGGCCAGGAGAGAGGTGGGCTGGTCAGGTGGGTGGGAGGCTGCTGCCATCCTGATGCTAAGGCCTGGGTCAAGGAGGGGCACAGGGATTGGCAGAATCAGCTGGGATGTGCATGCGTCTCCCATGGGACTCCGAGCCTCGTTCGGTGTGCAGTTAATTGGATCCCACGGGCATTAAATCCCTGACCTGGGCCTCATTAGCACGGGCCCTCCTCACTGGAGCTCACCAGCACGGCTGCTGATCTTAATAGGATGCTATTTTTGCTGCTGGAGACTGAAAGAACTATTTCCTTTCTATATAACCACACATAGAAATCGGGAAAACTTTAAAATGCTTTTTCTACCTTATTGTAATTTTTTTTGAAAAATATAAGTATTTTGAGAAAATGTCATACCATTCATATTTTTCTTTTCCTTATTATGTTGTAATATGGTCTGGCCTTGGGGCCAAGGGGTCTGGGATAAATGCTTTGAGAGGGAATTTCAGAAGAATTCTATGAAATAACAGATTTCTTTTGGTCACATATTAACTGCAACTACTAAGATCCAAATGTGTAAAAACTTGAAAACATTCATAAATATTCCTTTAAATGCTAACTTTTAGTTCAGATATTTGCCGTCCCACAGACAATGCTGATTGGTCTATAAAACACACAGTAAAGTGAAAATGTGGCAATTATTCCATTTACTCGAATCGTATAAAAAGTCAAAACAGAAAATTAGGATTACAAAGTGATTTCTTAGCCCAAATACTTGGGCCAAGTCTATAATTAACTGGCTGACTGCCAAAATTCACTTTACTTTATTCTTTGGTGACACAGCCAATGAGAACAAATGAGTCATGGGAAGATGGGTTTGGGACGGGACAGAGAATTATTTTTTGAAATTAAGCATTTAGTCATTGGGTTTTGACTGGGTGTTTCTGGCTTAATTTAAATCTTTTCATATTCTGAATATACTTGTTTGACCAAATTTTAATTTGCTTTAAAGGAACGAACTCAAGTTAAATATTAAAGTACCTGGAATTTTTTAAAAACAATATTTTAAAAAATGAACAAATCAAATCTTGATTTAGACTCAAATGATCACCTTGACAACATAAGGCAGCTGGGAGCCCAGAGAGCAGGTAAGAACCGCACACCAATGTGCACGTACGTGAGAAGGAAGGGCGGAGCAGGTGCAGGGGGTCATGGGGATTGCATTATCACACAGACTGCAGCCACGTAGGACGGGAACTGTCAAATGCACATCGTGACCTAAGTACCAGCTTGAGTAGGAAACATTTGGGGGGTATAAATAGGTCCCACGAGACGATAACTTTTGAAAGGTAGTCAGTATCACAAGATGAGAATCGATAACCATAGGATTAAGAGGAGCTACTAACATAGTCGCCAAATTGCGTGGCAGGAATGGTGGAGGCAACATGGTGCCTTGTCAGTCAACAAATCAAGAGTCCCCTTTCCCTTGGGAACACGAGGCAGCAATGTCGGCTGCATTCACTGCTGAACAGGTAAGCACGGCATGGTACTGAAGAGTGTGGACTTGGGTGCAGTGCTACTAGGTTCAAACGGTGGCTCTATCACTTAGTAATCTTGTCACCTTAGGGGCCATTTACTTCACTTGTGTTCGTCTCCGTCTCCCTTCTATAAAATGGAGGTGATTACAGCCACTACCTCACAGAGTTGGTATATGGTTTACATTAGTTACCATTTGAGATGCATGTTGAACATTGCCTCCCATTGTAATAAAGATGTTCCAGAAGTGTTTATTAAATAAATAAATAAATGACAAATTGCCCCAAACCAAGCAGGAGACAGGGATGCATGGGGGTCACCCAGTAACACTTTCTTGACCAACGAATACCAGCACAGCTGTAGACAGGGGAAGAGTGACATAATTGGAAGTCTTTTCTGGGACAGGGAAGGCTTGTGAAAATAGTAAAGCTCTGCTTTTTTCCTCGCCTTACAGGTACGGGCTTGCATACTGCCATTTTAACTCACCTCCAGAATCTTCCATTCAGGGTGCCAGGTAGTTTGCTGATTTAAACATACCATTTCCTACATTCTCAGAAATTATCACACGTTCTGTAGTCACTGGAGAATATACAACATCTGGCATCTAGGACCTGGAGTTCATTAGTACTTGAATTCAGGAGGCAAAAACTGAGCTTTTTAACCATTAGACCTGCTTTCTATTCTTCCTTTTTCCTACTGGCTTAGCACAAAAGTGGTTTATTTCTCACTCATATCATGATATACACCGATAGAACGACTCTCCTTGGTGGTTTTTCTCCAACTGGGGACTTGGGGACCCAGGTTCCTTCCATATGCAGACACTGTTGCCTTAAACTTGTGGTCCCTAAGTTTGCCACAGAAGAAGAGAGAGCTTCTGCCTTTTTTGCTTTCTTTAGATAAGTCAATTCACATATTTACCCCAAAGCAAAATTAGGAAGTAACAGAATTTTGCCCCTAATAATGCCTGTAGCCCCAAGAGTAGCAGGTATGGTATATCCTCTGACCCGTGGGCCCTAGACTCAGGTGGTCTTGGTTGAGTCACTGGTTCTCAAGGTCCCACATGGCCCTTCACACAACAGGTCCTCAATATACATTTGCTGAATTTAGCAAATGAAAAATAGTAATAACAAAACATCCTGGATTTTTCCCTTATTACATGGGTGATTTTTCTTGGGATCCATTTTTACTTTGTCAATTTCCCACTCTACCTTGAGGATCATTTCAAGGAAAAGGGCTGGGAGGATAAAAAGGAATATTGACCAACTATAAGAAATATAGCTTATAAACATTGTAAAGGATTTCATTAGTTAAAAGCAATCCCCTTTTATGGCTTTATGGATGGACAACTGCCTGAAAGATGGTACAAAAAGAACTATGAGAACTTCATAAGACCAGTATAAAACAGGAGAGTCTGCTTTATCGTAATGCCCCCAGCCAATCAAATCTCCCGTTGTCTATGGCCCTGTGTTTTTCCTTTACACATTGACTTAGGACTTGGCCATGTGACTGTGGTTGCCAGTGGGGCGTCAGCAAAGATGGTGCAAGCAAGGGCTTGAAAAGTGCTTGCGCCCTGGGGCTTTCCCTGCGGGGAGGCTGTCCTGAGAACAGTAAACAGCAAAGTGCACATGAAGGTACAGCTGACACATCAGCTCAGTGCAGCTGCATAAGTAAGCCCAAGTGAGACCAGCAGAAAAACTTACTAGCCAACCCACAGAACCGTAAGAAATACTAAATTGTTACTATTTCGGACCACTGAGTTTTAGGGTGTTTTATTATGAAGCAAAGGTGACCTAAAGCTATCTCTATCACAGTAAATAAACCAAATCCTGAAGCTTTAAAAAATGCAATCCAATCTAGAGTTACAAAATCTGATTCACATTTGAAGTGTTGGTCACTCGGAGACAGGTGATCGCAAGAAGCAGAGTATTCGGGGGCACCTGGGTGGCTCAGTCGGTTTAAGTGTCTGCCTTAGGCTCAGGTCATGACCCTGGAGTCCTGGGATCGAGCCCCACACTGGGCTCCCTGCTCAGCGGGGAGTCTGCTTCTCCCTCTCCCTCTGAGCTCTTCCTCTCTTTCTCTCTCAAATAAATAAATAAATAAATAAAATCTTAAAAAAAAAAAAGCAGCGGAGTGTTTGGTAAGGTTACTGCACATGGCAGAGATGTGGATTTTCCATCCCCCTCTCCCACAATACCTCTGACTTTCATTGTAGGTAAATAATTATTACCTCTTGGCTCCCTCCCTCTGTGCCTCCTCTGTAAGCAGAAAAATGTTAGCTGTCTCACAAAGTCTGCATTCTTTGGACAAAGTACAAATTTAAGTGGTCCTGAGGGAAAAACTCATGTTTGACAAGCCACTGACCATCAAAAGCCAACTATCTTGAGCCTAATGTCATTAAAATAACACTTCAGCGGGAACAAAGTGCTACTTTTTATTTGATTATATAATGACAGTGCTCTTTCTTTTTGGCTGATAGAAGGAAAAAAGACTTCCGGTCGAAATGACGCTTGATTTACAGCCGCTAAAATTCTAAGCAACTGATTCAATGAACAGAGCCTTGAGGGCAGGGTCCAAAGGATTAAGAAGCACTGATAATTGGGGGCTTATTGCTGCTCGAAGAGGGGGACTGACAAAGTTCACACCGGCAATCCCAGGGCTGCTGTTCCTTCGGCTCCTGGTCACAGAACACTCTGGTCTTCCTCAGCGCTGCTTAGCAACACCAGCTCAGGGTGAAGCTGACAAGTCGCTGGGAAAAAATGGCTCATTCGGAGCTTCCTGCAATTAGCAATCCCGCTCAGTATGGGGCTAAATTCTTTGCCCCAAAGGGATTAATGTGCTTAGTACAGTTCCATCTTATTTATGGACTGATCTCTTCCTAAAGCTCTTCACGTGAAGAGGAATATTAGAGCGTCACGATCAAAAGCATTCCATATATTAAAGATAGGTACAAATCATCCTAACTTTGCTTCCAGTCTCTCGTTCTTACTAGCAAGGGAGAGTCCTTCTCTTATGAACACAGTGAAGAAGACTATAACAGCCTGCCCAAGCTCATCCTTTTTATAGTCTCAGCAGAGAACATTTGCTATTTCAGTTGATCCTAAAAAGCGGTGTATTCATCATGAAAAATCTGAGGGAAGCTCAATGAACGAGAGCAGCAAACAGCATCTGTTACCACGTAAAATCAGCTCGGATACAGTAAAGATATTGTTTACTTTCCAGATCCTCTTGAGACCTCTACACCAACTGGTAGGTGGATGTGGTTTCCTAACTGTAGGAATATCCATTGTTGATGGAAAATTCTAGGAGAGCACAGAGCAGCAGTGGAAGCGTAATTGTATCTCAGTGACCCTCCATAATGCCAGAGAGGTGATCTCTTGCTAAGAAATAGTCTTTTTGTAATTTGCCAAGCTAGGAAGCTCTGCAGCTGGCCACTAATGCATTTCTTTGGCACTGACTTTGTAATGTCTTTTTTTTTTTTAAGTAGGCTCCACACCCAGCGTGGAGCCCAACACGAGGCTTGAACTTAAGACCCTGAGATCGAGACCTGATTTGAGATCAAGAGTCAGACGCCCAACCCACTGAACCCACCCAGGCGCCCCTGTCTTTGTAATGTCTTTCTGGCTCCCAGGGCACATTTCTTGGCTTGATGCTGAAAATCACCTCAAACCAGGCCATCTTGTGTTAACTTAACAAAATGATCTCCAAACTACTGGCTTGGGCCATTCCAACCGACTTCTATTTGCAATTTTACCCCCCAATTTTAAAAACTGTCAAGTGAGGTATACCTGGCTTCTGGGCTGTCTCATTTCTTCAAACCCCCTCACTCATTCATTCATGAGCTGCCACTGGACACTGACCTCTTGAAAGGCTACTGAAGAAATAAAAAGTATATGTTCTGGCCCCCCCCAAAGCTTACAGTCCAAGTGGCTAGTCAACATGCCTCTGAAGTGAAAAGAAAGGACAAATACATTTTTTAGGAAAGCAATAATGACAATGACAGGTGGGGGCTTCTTCCTTCACCTTGACGGTCTTCCTCGCCTTACCTTGCTCTGATGGGTTGAGATCCTAGTCTGGGTCCCAGAGCACTACCATTTCCAGGAGAATTCTTTCTGGCTAATGCTGGGGATATAGAAGTAGTTCTTTGAGGCACCTGAAAGAAAAACCAGAAATCAGAAATATTTTCCATAAAATAGCTCCCCTAGGCTCCTTCCTGAAAAGAGGCTATTCTTTTCCTAAAATTTACCAAGAGTTGCAGAAACTATCAGAAACGGGAAAGATACGGTGTTCATTTTTCAAAGAAATCCTTAACTCCCGAAACAAAATCACACAAAAGGCACTGAGGCACATTCAGCGATCATGAAGGAGAATGGTCTTCAATTTTAAAAACAAATTAAAAAACAGACCACGCTAATTATTTTGATTGACCGGGCTAAAATAGTTGCCCTCCTTTGCTTGTGTAAGAGTGGTGGATACCAGAAATTTCTTTGGGGTACCATTAACTTAGTTGATCATTGGAAATTGCATCAGATGAGAGTCATCCAGATAAGCTGAGCTCCACCCCAACTGATAAACAGATAAGGAAATGATGAAATCTGGTGAGAAACGAGGGTATCAGGCTAGAACTTGGGACATAAGCCACATGCCCGGGCGCTCAGAGAAACTACTTCAATGGACCCTAAGTGTTCCCACTTCCTAATCAACTTGTAGTCATTAATTAGAAACAACCCCCCCAAACACTGTGCTTTGGAAGGTCAATTTGCAAATGTAACACAAAACAGGATTAATATTGAAGATACCGACAGGGTCTTCAAAAAGGCTATGTGCACACCATCAGGCACACAGTGGGAAAATATATCATTATTAGCTTATCTGACAAGAGCCTAAGGCGGAACTCAAGCATGCCTCACTTTATTAAACATTTTTAGTGAAATTAAATAATGGAAGTGTACTAAAGGGGTCCAACATGAGGGAAGAGAATGATATTTACTTTATAAAAGTGACCAGGAAATGGAAATGTGGATATCTCGTGAAAACTGGTTGGGTTAAATATTTGTCAGGTGCTTCAATTTTCATTCATGTCTTGGGGCTCTTTTAAAGTGGGCTTGTATTTTGTACTAGATATTTAAAAAATGTGCTTTGCTGTAATATTATTGTTGAATATGTTAAGTGATACTTAACATTCATATAAATTTTACTGGTTATTGTAATACATTTTAAGATAAAGACCTAGAAAGATGAGTCCAGTGAAGAGAAGCAGAATGGCCAAATCAGGGTTCCCACCTGCTCAAATTAAATATTCTTTTTCTCCTTTTTCATTTTGTAAACTTAAATAGTTGTAGAGAAGAGTTTAACAAATTATTAAAACCTAAAATCTTTGCACGGATGTCAAATTTTCTCCCGGAGTTAGGAATGTATGCCTGCATGTTTTCAGAGAGTGGACCAATATCGTCCATTTTCAGTTTTCCCAGCTCTCATGCCGCTCCCCTGCCTGTCCTATCTTCAACATTGAACTTTGCTCCCTAACAAACCTTTTATGATGGCATCCTTGCTTCCACAAAAGGAGAGCACCAACAAAAAAAGTCGTAATCAGCTATATTCATTTCCAAAATCATGGAAATCCTGCTATAATATCCTCTTGAGTGGAAGAGGAGGAAAAATATTTGAAAATCATTGGGTAAAAAGTATTCTTTTCTCCCTGGAGTCAACAATGGCATTGATCTCTGGGAGGTGTGGGGCATTCCATTGGTCAAACCTCCTACGCTAAGTTCAAGAGAAAGGGGAATCTTGAACCAGGAAGAATCCAATGCAAAAATTTCTCCAGTATTTTGAAATACTTCCAGGATGTCTGTAGTAAGATGCATGGCCACATTTCACGACAACTTTTGGAATGAGTAACAATGGGTATAGGTAAAAAACAAACAAACAAAAAAAAACAAAAGAAACCAACTCCAGGATTACTCTGTCCAGTGGATGGCTAGTCATTTCACCCTACAGTTTTATGCTCAGGAGTCAAATTATGACCTGGGCTAGAAGGAGCTTTCCTTAAAAAGAGCCAATTTTAAGATCAGTACTATCTTCTGAACATCTGCAATCCAGTTTCACTTTGTGTTATTAAAAGTAGGAATAAATCAATTTTCTACTTTTTATCTGGAAGTTTTCAATTTGTCTAGATGTAGTTTCAGTCGCTGATGAAAATATCCATTATTCCATTTCTCTCTCTTTTTTTAAAATATTTTATTTATTCATTTGAGAGACAGAGAGAGCACAAGCAAGGGAGCGGCAGAGTGAGAGGGAGAAGCAGACTCCCTACTGAGCTGGGAGCCCAACATGGGGCTCCATCCCAGGACCTGGAGATTGAGACCTGAACCAAAGGCAGACTCTTAAACATCTGAGCCACCCAGGGGCCCCCCTCTTTTGTTTGTTTGTTTGTTTGTTTAAGCAACCTATATACCTAATGTGGGGCTTGAACTCATGACCCTGAGATCAAGAGTCACATGCTCTACCGAGTGAACCTGCCAGGCACCCCCATTATTCTGTTTCTTAAAAAGTTTGGAATGCTTGAGGTTGAGAGTTCTAATTCTGGATACAGGATAGATGTTTCCAAGTCATTCAATCTACCTGAGCCTCCATTTGTTGGGAAAAGGAAGGTCAGAAGTGGTCGATGACAATCCAAGTCTTAGCTTGGGAACAAGGAGGAAAACAAACATGAGAAGGGGTGGTGCTTTGGCATTCTCATGTTCCTCATTATTATAAAAGGTCTGGAATAGAGATAATAATAATAATAATAAACAATGATGATGATGAGAGTGACGATGATAAAAGCATGCCAGCCTATTACCTTTGGTGGAATGTCTTCTTCCTGTCGTAACCAAGAGCTGCGGTCAAACTTCTCAATGCGAGTGGGGAGAGGAGGGTTTTCGGAAGTGGGATCCGAGTTCTGGCGTGGCATCTCAACGCGGTGAGAGGTCACGTTCAGAGCCTCCTGGAACCCAGAGAGGCCCTTGGTGGGCTGCTCGTGCACTGACTGGGAGGCAGTCAAGGCAGGTCCCTGGGATTTTACAGCTACCAGATGTGGAATCTAAACAACAAACCAACATTAGAGCAACATTATTGGAAGAAAAAGCAGATCAGCCGGTACCTCATTCAGTGGGAGGGAAAATACCATTTTAGAGCAGAAGATAAGAACTAGAGGACACGGAGCCCATCATGGCTGTCTCCAACATCCCCTCAGAAGCTCTTCCAAATTTCCCACTTACAGCCATGTGTAGGGCTGACCCAGGGCGCCTGGCCAAAATTAACTGATTCACTTGGGACTGCTAAGAAGTCAATGAAATAGGTGTGATGATAGTAATAGCAATTTGCAGGGGACATTTACTGGTCAGCAGTATAATATATTTACAAGCACTTTTTTTCTAATATTATCAGCTTCCTCCTTCAAATCCCTTAACTTCGACTTTAAAGAGTGCCATTGCTCGTAAAACAAGAATTGCTCTGGCTATCTTACTTCTTATGAACTCACTACATCCACCATGAGGGGGATACAATCATTTTCACTCTTTTCCACGTGAGATTGGAAGGTCTAGAGAGGGTAACAACCTGGATCGCAGGGCTAATATGTGCGGGAGCCCGGACTGGAACCATCACTCACCTCCTGGTGCATACACCTAACTCTACGCTCTTCTGTTTTCTGGTGAGCTGGCTCTTACCACCCATGATCTTATCTATCTTTCCACACCAGGATGGTTCTTTTAGAGGTGTAAACCCCATAATTTGGCATGTGTTGATATTGTTCATGCAGGGAAGACATGCCGTCTTTGCGTAGAAATGTGGCTCTTTAAGACAGATCACTAAATCAAGAGTTCAGAGTGCTCTTGACCATTAACACTGCTCACGCTTTATTGTTACTGTCTCCTGCTCCATCACGAAGGTAAACTCCCTGGAGATGGAAGCCATGTCTGGCATGGGATCTCTCAGTCTACACTGTGCCTGGCCTGTGGAATGTGGTCAATAAATCTTGGCTGGGGAAACATCTAGAGTACTTTCTAAATTAAACTGTTAAGTCAATAAACACTAATCTAATATCTGCTTTGTGCAAGGGACCTATCACACCCTCTTTGGTCTGAAATCTCAAGATTTCAGACCACTGGGGAGCATTTCTACGGCCCTCTTCCGCCAGCCTGGCCCTGTTCCTTCTGCCCTTGAGGTCTTATCCCTGGGGCAGCCCTGCCCTCGCTTCTTCAGACCCTCTTTGGTCTGAAATCTGAAATGTTATTAATTAGAGTTCAGAGAAAATCCTCAAGGTCTAGTTCAGGTGAATGTTATGCTTCAACCAGGAAAGAACTGTAACCAATCACATTTTTATTAATGTTAATTACCATGAATATAATAATAATATTAAAATAAAGCATATTTTAAAAATATAGCACAACACACAAACCTATTTTAAAAGAGTTTCCAAAGACATTTGGGTGAAACCAGCTGTACCATTACCTTTACTTTTCATAAAATTCTATACTTTATTTCACTTCATATTTCACTTTCAGTGTTTACAATTTCAGAAGTCCTCTAAAACCTCCAGAAACTTGTCCTGGAGTGGTGTAACATTTTTCTTTTCTATATAGCTTACAGCAGTGGCTCTCAAGTCCTAGAGTGCATCAGGGGTACCTGGAGGCCTTGCAGACTGCCAGACACCCGCAGAGGTGCTGATCAGAGGTCTGAGGTGGACCAGGAAAACTGCATTTCTACCAAGTTCCCAGGTGACGCTGATGCTAATGATCCAGTGACCACCCTCTGGAAACCACTGGCTTAGGAGACACTATTTTATCCAAGGTCATTTTATTTTTCTTGTTAAAGATCATGCCCAAATCCCAATGAACAAAAGATAATATAATAGTTTATATATGACAGGTATCTATATGAATATTAGCTTGACAATTATAACTAAAAGGATGCTTGTTGTTATTTTGCAGACACTCCCATGGGTCTCCGGAGAGGCCAGTTTATCAAGAAGTGAGCTTGCAGCTGGCTCAAAGTTAAGGAGGGTGCTTTTTTTCTTTCTCACCCCTTCCCCTCACTCTTCAAATCCAGTGGGCTCTCCTCCATTACTACAGATTCTGTATTAAGGGTCATTGTTGGACCGGCCCTACGTATAAATCCAAGTTACAATCCCCTGTTCTTTTAGTAAGCTTAACTGTACAGCCTGTTGAAATGGCTGATGGAACAAAGGGGAGAATGTACCTGGGGATCAACTGGTCTGAGCAGAGGGGGTGTCCGAGCAGGCTGAACTCCACTGATACTGAAGGACTCCGACCTCGGGGGCAGGTTGGGGTCAGATATTCTGTTGGCAACCTTGTGAGGCATGGCCGGCGAACTCTGCCGGTTGAGCCTTGACCGCTCTTCTACCTAGAAGCCAAAAAAAGAAAAAAAAGAAAAAAAAAGAAAGAAAGGTGCTTCAGTGGATAGATGGATAGAAGCTGATTTACTGCCTCCTAAGGATTATCTGTAGTCACCTGCACAGCCATTTTTGTGTCCCTCTGATCAATTCAGTTTAAGGGGCCCAGACTCTCCATACCTGCTGTGCATCGAGAACTCTTGAAAAAGCTCTTTTCTGTCGGAGTAAACACTAGCTCAAAAAACGCAGAATGCATTTTTCCTATCACCCTTCTGATTCCCAGATTCTTGTGCTATTTCAGTTAGCTGGGAATTTGGGACCTGCTTAAGAGTTTACCTTGCACTGACTGGATATCATCTTGCCGATCGGTCACAAAGCCATTGAGTCAGTGAGGGAGATGAGGGAATGGAGTGGGCATCGAGACTGCTCAGGAGGAAAGCAGAAAACTGCTGGGAGCTGACTCAGGGTCCAGGGGAGGGAGTTTCCTCCCTACTGATAGACATGCAGCTGTTTCAGGTGCTTCCTTAATGAGCTGGCCTGTCTTCAGACATCCTATACTGTTTTTTTCCCCTCTTTGGGACCCTTTCTTTTCACTTGTCTCCCTGCTCCCTAAAATACATCTTTTCATTTCCAGCCTGGACTCCACTGCCTCACTCTCCCCACCTTCTCTCTCTTTGTCCCTGTGTGGCATTTCTTCTTGCTCCTTCCCCTCTTCTCTCCCCACCTCCAACCCTCTTTCTTCTGGGGCCACTTCAGTGCCCTTGTCATCCCCTTTCTTGCTGAGTCTGTCTCAGCCCAAAGCAGGTAACTGATCAGAAGGGTTCCACAGGAAAGGCTCACGGTCCCAGGGAATGCCCTTTTTATGGGGAAGATTCCCCTCAGTTCATGTCTGCAGCAGACAGATGGTCACAAAAGCTATTTCCAAATGGAAATTTCAATGAACAAGATGTACACTGCAAGGCATGATTTAAGATCTTTGACAACTTCAAGAGGTCTAGGACTTTTATTTCAGATCCATCCCGTCCTGTCCTTTATTTCTTTCAGGTCAATTTGGCAGCTGTATTTTCCAAACCTGCTGGGCAGCCCACCCACCCTGATGACTCTTCAGTGTGAGCCTGAACTCCCTTTGCTGACTCACTGATGAGGGTTCCAAGTGCCTGTCCTGGAAGCCACATGCAACTCAAGACATACCTGTATGGAACTCTTTATTCATTTCACTGCCTGATTTGAAATAAAAATTCAAAAGAGCTATTCTTTCCCATCCTTCCTATTTCATTTTGAGTCTTTCTAGGGGCAGACTCAGGGGTGCCTGGGTGGCTCAGTTGGTTAAGCGTCTGCCTCAGGTCATGATCCCAAGGGTCCTGGGATCGAATCCCACATCAGGCTCCCTGCTTGGCTGGGAGTCTGCTTCTCCCTCTGCCTCTCCCCTTGGCTTGTGCTCTCTCTCTCTCAAATAAATAAAATCCTTTTTTTAAAAAACGAAAGATTAGAGGCAGACTCAGTCTCATATACAGAATAAGTCTGTTTTTAAGCCCTCATACTAAGTACAAACATTCTAACATAATAAGGTATGCTGCAGAATAGAAGACCGTCCCCCCACTTCTACTCAGGGGTAACTCAACATCTCTTCTCCCACCATGGCTGTGCAGGGTACATACAATTGGCATCCCAGTTGACTTTGCTTTTGAGACTCCAGGTCCCAGAAGCTTACCACACACCAAACAAGGTTAGCTACCAAAAGCCAGATCTATAAACCAAAACATGTATACTTTGTGTATGCGTGTGGGCAAAGTATTACAACAGCAGGAATTATTTGGCTGTTGCCCTGAGCAAAAGAAAAGAATAAAGCCAGTTTTGAGCTGAGACCAGAAAGAAGAGAAAGTCCCACAAAGACAGTGGCAGATCAACTGAGAGCAAGCCATGCAATGTATTGCTTTTCTAAATACTATACTCTTTGAAAAGAGACTATTTCCAGACCACTGGCATTGGTCAAATATTAGCCATTTTCTTATTTCCGTGGAAGATCATTAATAGCAAGATCACATGTATGAGCACCCCCTCTCACCATCCAAACTCCCACAGTCCAAGCCACTTGCTGTCTGAGCTAAGGAACCCAAGAGATTCAGACACATTTTCAGACAAATTTTCAGATAAATACCTGGCCATCCAAACCGCAGCCACCTGTTACCCAACAGTCAGGAACCAAAGATATTCAGAGTGGAGACTACTTGTCATTATTATTTTTTTAAGCTATAAAATACACTCAGTTTTAAACACACACTTAGAGGCAGCACATTAAGGACAGCACTAGAAAAAGTCTGCCTTGAGGGGTGGAGTCAAAGAAGACTCCAACTTGAGCAAAGAAACCATCTTTGAGATAAAGAATTCTTTTGGTAAGAGCCAGCAGCAAGGTTCCAATGAAGGAGGTATTCTTGCCTCAGGCCACACAGGCTCAAGAGCTGTCATGGGAAATGAACAGGACAGAAAACTGAGGGGCTGACTCTCATAGGCAGTTAATGAGTTCAATTAGTTGTGAGTAACTATTACTAATGTACCTCTAGTAAAATTTCCTTTGCCTTCTATCAGTTGGTTTACATACTAAATCCTACCATTCGTATGTGTCAGGCTGTACCATTCTAAAATATGTGGTATAAATAATCTATTGTTACGCTTTGCAAATTATTTCAGGATGATTCAATTTGGTGAAATTTCCTGGGTTGGAACGTGTCCAAAGTAGTCTGAAAATCTATGAGAAAGGTGTAATAATGAGCCATCTGGTTATATACTTTGTCTCAAGAGAAGCTCGTCCTAAAGTTTTTAGGAAGAGAATGCTGCCCACTGCTTTTGCACCAAAGGAACAGCATGAGGACTGCAGCAAAGATAGCAAATCAAACATCCTACTATCAAACAGACAAAGGAGAAGCTGGGTGGTGTATCTAGCTCAGGCCCCTTCTGATTATTTTGATACTGGGCAAAGGCCTGTCTTCTGATTCACCACATCTTATTCCTACTAACTGAAAAGGAGATGGATAAGTGAGTGAGACCAAAAAAAAGTGGGTTTTTTTTTTTTCACCCAGAATAAGGATATATGTGATTAAACACCAGGGTACAATGAAGATGTGTTTCCTTCTGTCTTGTGTGATACTAAAAATAAATCTATGAGCTGAGCCTCTGCTCCAACCCCCTGTTCCAAAGAGATGTCAAACGTCAGAAGTACCACCAAAAAAGAATGTTCTAATAGCAACAAACATAGAGTGTCAAGGTGCTGGACCATGACAACAAAAGATATCTGTTATGAAGGATTCTATACTTGAAGGGATTATCAGTGAATACAGAGAATAAGATTAGGAGAGACTGATCAATTTTAGTACAAAAGCAATTTTTTTTCCTTATTAAAAGGATCATTTTAACATCAAAACTAAAATTTGGAGAGGTTTAGATCGTCTCTGCAGAAATGCTTTCCTATGTGTTGCCACATTACAGGGAGAAAAAAGAAACATAATTGTGGTCTCAGAAATAAAATTCTGCTCCAGGTCTGGCTGTGTTGTCCATGGGGTTCTACAGAAGTGATGTTTAAGGCCTCTGAGACGCATAAAGGCTATATAAACAGAGAAGACCTGAAAATCAATTTGTTGATTACAGGATTTCAAAAAATTTCTCAAAATAAATAAAAATGTGTTTAAACATGTATAAAAGGAAACATATCAATGTCAATTGTTAAATTACTTTGTACATTGACAACAATTCATAGCATACAATGTCTCACTTAGCAATAATGAATGATAGCTGCTGAGAGAAAAATTTCAAAACAAAATTATAACAGCAATTTTTTAGATGTTGACAGCAAAAATATATTTACGATGTCATATGGGTGCATCTTTATAATATTTTATATGATGCAGCATCCATGGGGTCTATGAAGGCCTAGAAGGCCTTACTTAAAAGCTTATACATGGTGAATTAAACACAATCCCTATGGGAATCCCTTTTTTTTTTCCAACCGAACAACTGATGCTTTTGTTTTTATTGGCAATACTGAAGAAAGAGAAAGAACTCAACCAATAACCTTTAAGTGCTCATTAGACACTTTAGGACCCTGCAACCACTGGTCACATAAACAGTTGAGTCATATTGTTCTTTGGCAAAGCCACAGGAGCAGATGGTGACTGAGCAAGATTGAGGATATCCCTTCTCCTGAGGAACCTCTGAGAGCAGGGGAGACTCTCATTCATGCGAAATGCTTAAAATGGACCCTCATCTGAAGACAAGAGCCTGGACTACTTGTCCAATATCCACTCTTAATCAATGACTCCAGAGAATAGTATAGGTCTTCATGGGGATGGAGCATGTAACTTAAAAATAATAAGGCAAGCCTTTCGCAAGCTGAGATGGAACATGAAGAAGGGTGCGTGTATCAAGGGGAGACATGGGTCGGGGAGATGGGGCTGCATGTGGACTGCCCTTGTGAAATCTAAACCAGAAACAACAGAGGCAAAACACTTATTCCCTGTAGGTGACAGTGGCCTTGGAAACAAAATATTTGACTGTGTTGAAGACTAGATTTCATGTGTATCTGCACAGAGCCTCTTGTTTCAAAGGTATATTCACAGACACGATGGTCCAGGGGCATTCCCGAAAGGCAGGGAGTGCAGGTGGGGAAGCTGAGCCTCAGGAAAGCTCCGAGACTCATCCCAGGTCACCCAGCCAGGAGGCGGAAGAACTTGAACTCAAACTCCTTACTACTTTCCATGTCTCTCTTATGCCAGATTGTAAGAGAGCGAAGCAGAAACTGAGGAAAGAAGGGGGCAGAGCTGTACACTCTCTAAGTGGTAATCTGGGACCTCATATATAAAATGACTCATATAAAAAGGGGAAAAAACACACATCAGTGTAGAGTAGGGAAAACCAATTGGAGGAGTTCTTACATGCAGGGATTTCAGAGTCCAGTGGGCTGATGAGATATAAAGAGCCATCTTGGCCCATCGTTTGCCAAATAAAACCATGACCAGATGACTGGAATGCATCACAGAGTAAGAACATGATGGAGTGTTGAAAAAAAATTAAAATACAATCTCATACAGTATTCATGTAGAGAGAGCATTCTGTCACTGCTATGTGTTGATGAAAATTTAAAAAAATATGGGGAGGGGGCACACGCAATCACTACCAGACCCAATCACGTGCCATTTGAAGGAAAAGGAATCTGCCCCATTAGAAGCAAAAGGTATTATAAGAAAAGGAATCTCCATCTTGCAAAAAGTGGTAGTGAGAAAAATAAGATCTTCAAATTTTGCTGATGTTTAACAGAATATCATACTGATGTTTTTACAGAAACAAATCTGACTTCCATCCTAATCCAGAAATGGCTGAGAATTTGCAAGGGGTGAAAATGCCCCCACCCCTCCTTTTAACAGAGACGGGAATGCTTCTCTCTGACTGAAATCTGAAAATCCCAGTCAGTGTGACAGTCAGGACAGATAGAATACTCTGTCAACAAAGAGAGGGAAGAGCTCAACAAGATTTGAGTACTTTCATTCCTTCTTACTACATCCAACAAATTAATGAGAAAGCTAATGTGAAATGCAATGATGACTTATATTTTACAAAATGAAGCAACAAAATCACCGAGGGTGAGGCATTGTAATGTTACACCAGCTAATGAAAGACTGTCCATTTGAAAAAAGGAAGAGAAATAAGGGGATGAGAGCTGAGCTGGAAGACAAACATGGCACAAGTCACAGAGGCTGCTGGGGGAGGAGGTGGCTGGGGGGTGTCTCAAGGGCACAGGGGGCAAAAAAGGTCTGGACCCTGCGTCACAGAAGCCCGTGGCATGGGCACAGTTGCCCAATCCTCCCTGGCAAGGATGATTTCCATTTTATACCCTGGTAGAGGATGCATTTGAAAAAGAAACGGTACCTTTTATTCTAACTCCTAAAGAGAGTTTGACTCAGGTTCTTTTTCTTGGCTGAGAATTAAGATACGGCTGGGCTCGAAATTCTGTCTGTATCTAAAGTTTTGAAATGTATTTTGCCGTCTAGCTACTTTCAGCTCCATCTACCTCACTACTATAGGAAAAGAAACCTTTAAATAGTGCTCGAGAAGTGCATACGTTGCTATGAGAAGCATTAAGATGTCAAGAAGAGAAGGACCCTCACACCCAGTTTTGTCCCCATTTTAAGAAGTGGGGTGTTAAGAAAATGATGAATCAAACCAAAGCAGACAATTATCTGTTCTTATTTGTACACGAGTCACTCCGATCCCAAATTTAGCACCGTCACTCATTCTGTGATCTAAATGTTTCATCTCTCTTCTAAAATAGGAACACCCACTCTAAGACTGGGGAACTGCTTCACAAATAGATTGGTTAGTTGGAAGCCGGATTACGTTAACCACGCCCAGGAGGATAGGACTGAATATGCATCCCAAAAGAATGTTCCCACATATGTCTAGAACTGCATGAAGCCCAAAGAAGAGCACCAGCTGCTAGGAAGCCAGGGACCTTGGAAGATGTCACCCACCGGAGGTGGCCCAGCTTTATGATGGCCAGGGAACCTCACATCGGGAGTGCTTGCTGACACAGCTGGGTTGTTTGCACGCCCAGCTGCTCTGTTTCTTTCACTGCTAGAAGCTTGGCCAGGAAGCACAGGGGAATTAGAAGGTCTAGAAAAGCACCTCGCTGACATCTGCAAAGATTGGCCCCCAGGAATGCCATGGCTTCTGAGAGCTCGGGAACCGTCAACTAGTTCTGAACAGAGAGGACAGGCCAGGAAACTCAGTGAGGAGGACAAAGAGTAACTAGGTAACAGTGGAGTCAAAGCGATTAAGTTCACATCAGAATGTGCTGGGTAGAGGTGGAAGGAAGGACGTGGGGAGTGCTCCAGGCTTTGCCCCCTTTTCTGGTACATTTGTGCATGAGGGAGCTGCACAGGGGAAAGAAGGAATTCTGGGATGCTCTGCAAAGAATCACGGTCTTCTCCAATGAGCTCTGTAGGTGTCCCTCTCCTAAACTCATGCTCGGGGCTGGGAACATGGAAGACCATGTAGTCATGCATCAAGAAGAGGTCATTTAGCGATGCAGCACTTCTTAGAGGCGTTGAGGTACTTGGAAGGATGCATACATTCATGCCCCTCCTGCCCCGAGGTCCACAGGAGTCTCTAAGGCCCTCCTTACTTGCAGTGATGGACAACTTGGGGCTTGTCACTTTGAAGATGTTGGGAGAGGACACACAAATGACCTTAGATCCTAACTCTTGAGTTGGACTACATCCTTGGGAGCGAGATCGCCTTGGGGATCTCACTGTGGTCCTTGAGGCTTCCCGAGCCTTCAGTTGTTCTTCAAGACCAACTTTAATAGGACAAGCGGGTCCACCTTTCTTCCATGAGTGATGCTCCAGCAGGAGTCTTGATCTGGAATCATTAATTTCTGCAGGTGCTCCTGGCATTAGCTTAGCGGAGCCTAGTTTTTCAGCCTTCTGAACACCTGCCATGATCAGGAGCTGTGAGTGTGGCTTAGCTGAGGGTTTCAACTTGGCAGGGCTAGAAAATGGTTTAGCAGTGGAGGAAGGTGGCATGTCTCTGCCAGCCAGGACGCATGTCAGCTGCTGTCTAACAGCAGAGTGATTCTGCTTAGTTGGAAGAACAGGTGGGTTATTAAAGGGTCGGTGCTGTACCTGGGAGTAGGATCACAAAACTGAGTTATTGATCTAAGAGAAAGAGGCAGCTGTTACAGACATAGGTAAATACAAGTCATCTTTATAGACTCTAAAGGAAAGTGATCAAAAACATTCTTTACGTGAAATCGAACGATTTTATGTACAGATTCAGTTTTTTAAGTTTTAAGAGAAAAAAAGTTTGATTTTTGTAAAAATAGCACATGATCATTAGAAAAGATTTAAACAATATATAAGAATACAAAAAAGTTTAAAGAAAATACACTGCAGTTTCTACTGCCCTTAAGCAATCATCATTAACATTAGGGCAACATCATTTCAAGCATTTTCTATACATACATAAAAGAGAATAAAAAAATATAAAAAGACAGAAACATTTTTGTAAAAATAGGACCTTATGTAAGAAATCTAGTTCTGGTAAGACTGTAGTCTAGATAACTTGAAATGAGCTCTAGCTATAAATACCTGAAGATAGAAGAACAAAATACAAAATAACACCAACATCCTCTTAAATGAGTAGCTCTGCTCCACAAGAAAATAAAGGAAATCACTGGGTGCCGCAAACAATGACAGAACAGAAAACCAGGCTGTTACGCACATGAGCTGACACAGTGACTCTTGGGAGGATGGTTAATCTTGGCTGATCTTGTTTCCTTGCTTTGCCCATTTGGTTATCACCTTTTTTTCCTACCATCCAAATAGTTTTTAATTAGACTTTTAAAACAGCTCACCACAAAGCCCAGTTCTTGAAAAGCCGTCCTCACTCTAGTAGTTGAATTGCAAAAGAACTACAAATGACCTCTGATCCCAGAAGTGGTCACCACAACCACAGGTCTGGGACCAACCGTGTGTCCATGTGTACCATGACAACGGGGTGTCAGTGACAGTGCTAATGATCACTTTCAGGGTCCAGGTACAGACAGGAAAGGATTCAACCTAAAATTCCCTGAGTCTTTATTAAATCACATTCTTTCAGGGGAAAGTCACTAAAAATCCTCATGCCACAAACCCACTTGGACACCTAAGGGAAAAATGATTTTTCTACTTCCTGCTATTACTTACAAAAATCCCCTATATCCATGAAGATAAAAAAAAAAAATCCCTGAAAAACAAAAATCACTAATGTATTAAGGTGCCTTGTCAATTCTCTATGCAAATAACAATTATGGCTCTTCCAAAAGCAGAGCATGCACTTCTTATGATGGATTGTTCTCCAATTGTGTAGCACTAGTTGAATTCTCTGCTTCTCTTGGGTGAACTCACTAGAGTAACCAGCCTGGCCAACAGGACATGGTTACACTCGTTAGTGCACTTACCTCCTTGGCCCATGCTGGTTTCTCACTAGGACTCATCCCTTCTTTGTAATGGTACAGTGGCTTCTTCTCCACAGGCCTCTGCTCCTGTCGTTGATGCTGGAGAGACACCAAGTAGTCTCTCTCTTGCTTTAGCTGTCTCTGTAGTCTTTCTGCTTGTCTCTGTTCTTCCAATTGTTTGCGCTTATATTCCTATCCGGACCAGAAAAGAGAAGCAAAGAAAAGGCCAAATCACCATATGGAAACCACTGGCCAGCACCGGAGAAGCATGCAATGCAGCCGAAAGAGATGATAACAAGAAAAGCCAACAGAACCACAGAAGGATGTCAGGGCGTGCCACGGGGCCGGGGCTTAGCATTTCCCGAAAACACTACTGCTTTAATGGCAATCCCTATAGAACACCACCCCTTGCAAGGTGACTTGTCCCTGACTGGGGACCAAGGAAGTAGCAATAATGAGGACATCTGGATGGTCAGCGCACAACCCCTGTAAGGAGCCATCCACTTCCCGGTTTGGTAATTAAACCACTCAGACATGTCCACTTAAGTACAAAACTAAGTAAGTAGCTACAGATATTGCTCAAATCATCTTTTGTTTCACAAAACTTGGACCAACAAAGGCCATTAGCAAGCGTATGCACAGGCTAAAAAATATCACAGAAGTTCAGTTAAAAAAAATGTATCAAGCAGCTCATTCGGAGAGCAGGGCGATAATAATAAAAAAGTACTTCAAGAAGAAGCCGTGTGAGCAAGCCGGGAACACAAAATGTTCCCATCGTAAGGGTAAAGCTAATAGTCTACAAATGAAATATGACTGCAGAGCTGAGTGGGTTCTTACAGAAGAGGTGCATTTTGCTGTGATTGTATTCCAGCATGTTGCAAATGACCTTAAAAATTACTCTGCAATAAACACAGTGGGTCTCGAAAACAGCCTGAACTTGTAACAAGCCTGGATTCAGGCTAAAGTTTCACAAAGAGACGGAGTTACTAAAGAATGCATGACAAGGGTCTCCAATGTATTAAGATGGCCAACTAGGCCAGGAAATGTATTGGGTTTCCAGGAGACTTTTGAGGTCCACGAGGCTTGGAGGACACCCCCTTGTGGACTGGCATGTTAGGTGGACACACACCGTGACGCACGCGTGCACACACACACACACACGCACGCGCGCGATGAACACAGAGCAGGTGGCTGGCCCTCGGCTTTCCCATTACCAGAAGTAGAGCTTGTTCATGCAGTAGCTGCTGCTGCAAGATCTCTAACTGTCTCTGCTCCTCCTCTAACTGTCGCCTGATGTACTCCTGGAGAGGTAAGCAGCAGAGCATTCAGAGGAACACAAAGAGAGAAAGAGAGAGAAAAAGAACCGGTAATTTCTTTTAGGTGACAAGAGCTGCCAAGTAAAGTGTGGAAGGAAGGAGGGAAACAAAAAAAAACCCAGACACCTCCTCACCAAACAGGAAAAGAACCGAAGCAAAAGCATTTCAATGCAGTCAAAAGCACAAGTCCTGAACCTGCAACAGCCGACTGAGGGGGCTCAGTGCTTTGCTGTGACTGTTCGGTTCTAATAAACCCAGCTACATTTTCAAGCTTTTCATTGCAGGTTCCCTCTTTATGGGCGCCACCTCCCCCCACCCCGGAATTAACAATGCTATCAAGGTCCGAGGCTCCTGTGCAAGCGGCAGGAATAAAATAATTGTGGAATGCCCGCAGGCGCGGTCTTTGTAAGGCACCCACCCTGCAGAGTGCCACTGTGCTGTCAGATGGTGGTTCTAACAAAGACAGAGGACCCTGCATCTGTGGCTCAGGCATGGAGACCAGAGACGGCATGAGCAGAAAAGCCCTTCTGAAGCGATGAAAGAGGACCATGTGGCTCATTTATCATGTTTTGGCACTACCTTCAAAGTAGATACCCAGGGTTGGGAGAACCCAAAGATCAAGGTTATGTTGGGGGACTTGGGCCCGGGCAGGAAGCGAGGCTCAACGTAACGAGGGGGCATTGCCAAGGCTGTGCGTTTGACTTCTTGAATAGGTGAGAATAGCAGCTTGAGAAAGAGTAAAAACCTGCTTAAACTGAGCAGTCCTAAGAGAAGGTGACCCACACCCCAGGGACGGACGGACAGACGGACGGCTGGCGCTGGAGCTCCCGCTGGGGCCATCTGTGGGCTCCGGGCCCTGCTGTACCTGCTCATGCTCCGCACGCCGCCTCTCCTCCTCCCGGCGCATCTGCTCTTCGTAGTGCCGGCGCTGCTCTCTCTCCTGCTGCTTCCGCAGCTCCTTCTCTCGCCTTTGTTGCTGTGGGGCCACAAGCAGACAACCATGAGGGACACGGGCCTGGGGCGGAGCTGTGGGGAAAGCAGCAGTGAGGGCTGCCGATTCGCAGATGTGTGCCCTTCTCCATAGCTGCCTACGTGCCCAAAGGCTCTTTCTGTCCTGTGCTCTTGGGGGGACTTGCTGGTGAGGATGGGGGGACAGAGAGCAATTCACTGTCATGCAAATACCCTGTCATTTCCCATGCAAGTAGACTCCCCAGGTTTACTCCTCCCATTTCCTGTTAAGCACATTCTCCCTATTGGCTGACGGTGGCACTAATGACATATCATCAAACTGTTTATATGAGAGTCTATGGGTTTTAAAACATTTCCAATGCTCATGTCATTCAGTCTTTTCGACACCACCTAGGGCAAACATTTCATAGAGAAGAGAAAGCAAAATCCATTGAAATGAAGTGACATATTTAAGGCCATACAGTAATTAGTGGCCGAGAGTACAACAGAATTCATTGACTCTGACGCTGTCCATTACCCTACCTGATACATTATGCCGCCTTTCTTTATTTTCTGGAGTAGTCACTTGTGAGTGTCAATTTCAACTTCTCATTCAAGTAAGACCCTTAAACTCATCATCCTTAGCTCATACAATCACCATGCCCCCAACAGTGGAGAGTGTGGTCAGCACCTTTTATACTTTATCTTATTTAATCTTCACAAAAATCTGCTGATGCAGTTATTCTTATTATCCCCATTTTATATGAGAAAACTGAAGTACAGGGAGATTAAGCAATTGTCAAAGGTCATCTTCATGTTCAAGGTCATGCCCCAGTAAGTGGTGGAGCTCGATTTCAAAGCTAGGCAATGCAACTCCATCCACAGTCTGAATTCAGTCATTACAGAAGATGAAGAAGCACCAGGAGTGATAGGAAGATCACAGATTAATCCAGCTCTTCATTATGCTCTCAGAAAAGGAGATCATCTTAGGAATAATGACAGGAGCCAATGTTTCTCAATGGGACAGTATCGTTCTCCAATCCCTGGAGCATTTGGAATGTGCAGGGGCATGGCGGAGTTTTTCTGGTGGTCTCTGAGACTAGAGGCCTTGACTGGCACTTAGTATGAGGAGCCAGGGATGCTGAACATAGCATTATGCTCAGGACCGTCACACATCACAAAGTGTTTTCCTATACCACAGGCTGTTAGCGCTCCTTTCGAGAAATGCCGCAGCCTTTGGTGTCGGTGCCCTGTGCTGGCATTAGGATTTCTTCTTCCTCAAATATGAGGTTTGGGGGAACCCATCGGGGGGGTCCATTCTCCTTTAACATTCTCAACAGCAGTTCACTGCCTGGCTGAGATACTATGAGTTATCCAAAACAGCATGGATTGTGACCAGATCACACTGAAAGAGCTTTCTAGGACAAAAGCTCTCTGTCACAGCCCCAGCTAAACCAAGCAGACATTCAAACCTCCAAAGAACCCACAAACAAGGAGGCCTTTCCAATGTGGCTCCCGCTTGCAATCCGCTGGTCCTGCTGTCTTCCAATGACCGCTGAGGCTTGGAGATAAGCTACAGTTTTTTGAGTCTCAATATCTATCCCTTCTAGATCAACAATTATTTGTCCTCCTTAGATTACAGGCAACAGAAAGCCACTGGAGGACTTTCTGCAGTCAAGTGCCATGACCAGACTTGCATTTTCAAGGGACCTCCTGACAGCCACAGGAGGGGGCAAGACTGGAAGCCGAAGTGCAGGGCTAGGCCATTCTAGGGGTGCAGGCAGAAAATGACAGGGCACCGGGGCGCCTGGGTGGCTCAGTCGGTTAAACGACTGCCTTCGGCTCAGGTCATGATCCTGGAGTCCCGGGATCGAGTCCTGCATCGGGCTCCCTGCTCAGCAAGGAGTCTGCTTCTCCCTCCGACCCTCCCCCCATCATGTGCGCCCTCTCTCTCTCATTCTCGCTCTCTCAAATAAATAAATAAAAATCTTTAAAAAAAAAAAAAAAAGAAAATGACAGGGCACAGATGAGTGAAGCAGAGGCAGTGGGAGAGTCCATGTTCATCACCGCTGCTGAGAATGGAGGCGCAGCCAAAAGGAAGACAGACTAAAAGCTATCCAGATTTCCAGCTCTTCTAATGGGACTGGAGTGGACGCCAACTTAGAAGTAGAAATTAGAATTAAGCCAAGATCAAATAGGCAGGATTTGGGGACCATGGGGCTTGTGAGGGTGAGTGAAGTTCCTGGCCAAGGGGCAGAGCAGATGGTTTGAAACAGAGGAGGAAAAGCAGGTTTAGGGAAAGGAATGGGGGGTATATTGGAGGATAGGGATAGTCAAGCTCCAGATGTCTGATTATTTATTTTACAGAAAAATAATACAGGAAGATGTGAGTAGAAAACATTTTCAGAGGAACTGACTGAATAATTTGGATTATAGACCCAAAACAGAGATCTTTCCAACACTCAACCCAAGTGAATCAATGCTAGCACAGAGGATAAAATAATTATGTTATAGATCTGGCTCCTGGCAGGAACTAGCCCTACTTTAACTAACATTTCAAGTTTTTTTACTCTCACCATCGGTCTCTTTCCTGACCAAAAAAATAATAAGAATAATAATCAAGGCTTTTGAAGTTTTAGCTGATTTTTATGTGAAGGATTTGTACATTTTCAACCCCTTTGCCGGGAATCAATACTGTTTTCTAATTACATGCCACTCAGGTCCTTGGGCAAGGTGTACACAGTATTGATTGCAACTCAGGAGGGTCTGTAGTTTCTGAGAAAGACACTCAGAAGTGACTAATAATTAATAATGATCTCACTCAGATCAGCTGCCACTAACGCATGGAGGCATCTGCCAGGGCTTTGGCTCCTGTGGTGAGGTTGGAAAAATAAATCACTTCCCCAACATTCTGAGGGCACCTTGCCAATTTCCAGCTGCTGGGTTTCAATGTCAATGTCTTTCCTGGAAAAATCTTTGCTCTCTTTCCTCCTGGTTGTGGAACTGTTTGAGGGGACATACCAAAACCTGTCCGAGAAAGACCAAGTCCCCGACCTCAAGCAGACACCTCTACAAAGCTCTGATGACTCTTGCTAGGGCTTGTTGAGGTAAGGCCTGTGCTTGATTCCCACTGGACCCGCAGCCCCCCATGTGGGGCTGGGAACCTGGCAGGGACACAGAAGATTTTTTTGAACTGAACCAAGTAAGAAACTCAGGGCAAAAGAAGACAACACAATATCTTACATTTCTTTGGAAACATTTTCTGTCTTCTCAATCCTTAGAGTTTATATCACACTGTGCCTTAAATTATGGTTATCTGAGTATGTCTTCCCTACTCTACAATCTAGGTTGAAAGCTATTTGTGGGCAGGGTCTCTGTTCCACTCCACTTTTTCTCTCCCACTCAATCCCAGTAAATCCCTGATACCATTGATATTTGTTGCACTCAGTACGGTCAACTGGGTAGCAAGAGAAGAGGAGAAAAGTTGGCAGGGCCTCAGACCACCCCTCCACCCTTTTATGCCTTTTTCAGACAGCCCTTCTGGGCCTGAATGTTCTTTTATGCTGAACATAGACAAGGCTTGAGAGTATTTTTCTAACCAGAGAGCCACCAATGACTGGCATTGGCATGGCACCTGTTTGCCATCTTAAAGAAAGAGGGAAAATAAAATAAGGGAATAAGAATCTAAGCATTTCTAAATTTCATTTAAATTATGCATGCAGATGACAGTGGTCCTGTTGTCAAAAAGGAATGGCTTAAACCAACTATCCTAAAACTTCTGGCCGATGCCCCACCTTTACCAAACTGCCTAGAAGTATGTTTTCATCTACATCTTCTTCACAAGTTGTATCACTTAAAATTAGATATTCAATGGGTTCTTATAAGTTTCTTAAGTTTTTTTCCTGGTTGGGGGATGATAGATAATACCCACTCTCAAAATTTTCCAGGCCTTGCTCTATTGAAGCAGGTCACTGGGATCTTCTTGCCCCTCTGTCTTCCGTGGATGTTCCCAAAGAATAATTTTGTTTAGGGCAGTTTTGGTTCTCCCCTTGGGTGTTCCCCTGAGGCTACCTCTAAGTGGAGGCCGTGTGGCTGTACTTCAAGTATGTGAACTGGTTAGTTTATCCAAATGAAATAAACCCGTTCCCTTGCTCAGGGGACCCTCAAACGTTATATGTTTCTCCCAAATTGATGATGCAGAATTTTGGCTCTTCAAATTCTTGCAGAATATCACCTTAACTCTTAAGTATTCAATTCTTCTTAAAGCTGTAACAAATAATCCTCATGGCTGATTGTCACAAAAGCCACGGTGTTGCTCTTTCTTTCCTTTTGTTTCTTTCAATGTTCCTTTTAGATGAAGTTTAACCAGCAGAAAAGTGTTAGCTCCACTAGGGTGCTCTGGCTCTTGCAGAAGTGACTGATGAACTGTCAGGCCATACGTTGCCCTTTACAATGTTATCCGGACAGCTGAATAGAGCCAAGCACTGTGTTTGTGGGAGGAACATCACCGCACACATTATTCACCGCATTACTCAACCACTACTAGGCAAATGCACAGGCTCCCAGTTATCTCAGAATGCTTGCCTGAGTAACAAAGTTACTTGTACCCGATGGACAACATGAATCTCGAACCATTCGAGTTTGCCTCTTTTCTAAGTTGCTGGGGCCCTCAGAGTCAGACTGGTGGCCCCATTCAGGCACCTGCGCCGGGCACCGTGTTGTGCAGGCATTCTGTGAACTGACCCTACCCTGGCTTTGTCTTGTTTTCCTCTTCTGCTTTATAGTCCCTTCTTCTTAATTTTCTCTCTTTTTCAATTTTTAGTTGCTATATTAATCTTTGTAAGCCATCTTATGTCCTCTTTTTGGAATAAAGTAAAATCACAAAGAAGTGTATACACAAACAAATGAACAAACAAATCTTGGCTCTCCACAGATTTTGAAACCTCAAAACCACCCTTGGAAAGATCAAAATGAGATAAACAAGAAATTGTTGGCTTGTAATTTGATTTTTTGTTTAAGAAGGTGGCA